ACAATGCATCCAATCTGAGTAGCTACTTGAAGCCTATCATCATATTTACAGAGACTAATTTAGCACAAAATTTCTCAAGCTTTTCAAATTCTTTGATGTCAACATGACAATTCTGTAATTATGCTAGCTCTGACAAAACATGGAATTGTAGAAATATTTTCAACCAGTGTTCAACATTTATGTAAGATCACGTCCATTTTCAGTAAGCTTATAACAGCTTTCTAAAATAGATCAGTATTATCACATTTATTATTTATTACAAGTCTTCCACTGTGATAGAATGCTGAGATAATGCTTTAAAGTCACTTCCTGACTTTATAGCTGAACTAAGATTTAAACTAACATGCCAATAAGAAGTGATTAGTACCCTCCAGAAATGTTGACTCCATATGATAGTTGGAAGTCTGGTAGTGTAATTCTACACAAGGCTGTTGAAACATGATTTATACCCAATGAAGTTTTAGCACTTCAACTAGAACTTAATGCCTATGTTCTAGAAATAAAATTGTAGAGAAAGCCGATAGTTTATTCAAATGTTATTTCTGCATACACCAATAGGAAAAGGCAGGGCTCTTAATAATGTTATACAGACCCCTGTTTTTCAAGCAATCCATCCTACAACAGCATTTTAGTATAGATACACTTCTAACCTAGTATCGTTGTCTTTCCAATCCTTAATCACCTATATGACAAATTCTTCCATACCAAATCCCTGCTCTGCAGACGAAAATATTCAAAATAAAGCCAAAAGACTGTTCTTGGCATGGTATCACAAAGTGCAAGGTAATATTCTGCCATATTAAGATTAAAGAAGCACAGGGATCTGGTACAAAGCTAAACTCATGCATTAACCTAATAAATTAATCATAGGTCTGAAACATCTACCAATCAATGTTCAATAGGGAAGCAGAACATAAATCTTGCAATTTTTAGCCCCATGTTTGAAAGAAAAAAACAACAACAGGATTACTATCTTCTGTGGCCTGGCAAAAAAGCACAACAAGATCTGAGCTGAAGGTTGGGTCATGATCTCTGGGATCACACCAAACTTTGTCTGCAGCATGTACTGTATGTAGCAAGTTTATATTCTGACTGTCTTTGCTAGCATCTTCAGGGAACATGAGTCCTGTATATATACCCAAGCAAGTCTTCTGCCACTCAAGATCAAGAAAAGCTATACTTTATGCCTGTCATTCAAAAACATTACCATCTAAGAGAATAGAGGACTTAAATAATGGTATACTCATTTTTAACAGTATGTGACAAAAATAACCATCATAGGTTAGATTTAGAGACATGCAGATTGGTATTAATTCTGTGGCTGGGAGGGCCATGCTTACTTCTTTATAGGAAAGGATTATCTTAGTACTATAAACATAAATGAGCAGTCAGAGAAGAGAGCTAGTCCAGGAGGTATAACTAGAACTGGGCTCTATTTGGAATCATTTTTCAAAGCAAGCAGTTGATAATTTTATTTGATCTTGACTGGGCTAACTTTATCACATCAATAAAGAAACAGGCCCTGTCCAGTGCGTTTTGATAGCCGAAAAATAACTAGGCCAGTCCTCTGTTTGCTTCTGTGAAAGATCTGGTTAGCCTTGATTTAAAAAGCCTCAGACTTTTTTTATCAAATTTTGTTTTGTGTAAGTAATAATTGGGAGAATACCGGTACTGATACAGCCTGCCCTGTCAACTGTTTTCCTAAACATTTAAAGAGTACCACTCGCTATTATATATAGAGCACGCACCAGAAATATGTGAAAAATATAGAAATTAGCCTGGAAAATAATAACTGCTGTTCTTAAGCAGTTAGCTATGCAGTATTGCATAACAGAACTTCAATTCAAGTGGGCAAATTTCCTTTGGGGGAAATATAGATTTTCACAGATGGGTCTCATTCTAAATTATTCTTTATGACAGTTATTAATCTGTGACTTCTCTGAAAACAAAACTCATAGAGCAGTGGGTATTAATTGATATTGTGATCTCTTTTCCTTTCCCAGTCATTGTGAAAACATAACTCCTCAGGCTTAGCCAATGACAAGTATAATTTGTCTGCCAAACTTTGTATCTATTAGGCCCTTTGTAGTTATATAAATTGACAGCAATATAGCATTTTCTGCAAATTGTGTAGTACCTTCACTGGGAAACTATTGAAATTAATGATTGGAAGAGGTGAATGAAGTATTATGTTCAGCTAATAAGTACTTCAAAACACTATTGCATATAATGTGCAAAAACTAAATCGCCACAGAAAATTCCACTACTTTAATATCTTTCTCGCCAAAGAATACAAACCATTTTTGATATAGTACCAAAAAAGAAAATAATGCAGAAAAAAAAACAGACATGGAAAATTGAAAAACCCAACAATGATTCTCCGGCTTGGGAGGGAAGTCTGAAGTTAAAAGTCTCCAAAAAGGTTATGGTAGTTACAAAAAGGAAAAGCCCATTATTTAAAACTATAAAGCCAAAAAAGGTCTTTGGGTAAGGGACTATGGCAAATAATAAATGGGTAGGGAAGTAAACACGAGAAAACTAAGCATAGAGAAAAACATAAGGTGTGTAAAACAGTTACAGAGAAGGACCGGGAAATGTAATTGCTGAGGAAATAGTAAAAAGCAGATGATCATAATAAATGAGTCGAGTCATTACCAAGGCTCATTGACAAGAAACACTAATGGCATGAGGAGGGGCAATGGAGTAGCTTGGCAAAGTACAATGGGGAGGGATGAAAAGGCGAGACCAGGCTCATTAATGTAGATAAGGGCTACAGGAAGAGGTCCTTAAACATCATCTACAGAAAAGAGTTATCACTGCAGGACACAAATACAAAGATAGCATTAAAAATTACAAAATCAGAAGTTTCCTACAGAAAACTCTGTCAACATAGAGCAGAAACAAAAAAACAGGTGTCCTCTGAATTTGAGGATTACAGAATCTACAATTAGCCAATGGGAGCTAAGAGTGTTGGCCAAATTTATGTCTCTTTCTTGTTCGTCCTTTCAAGAGGTGGCTGTTTCACTGGATGATGTTATGAATAAATGAGTAGGAAAGCAAAATAATCCCTGAAAACATTGCCAAACGGAAGAGTTGAGAAGAATCTAGAAGTAATGGGGGATTCTAGAAGATGTTCTCTATGAGAGGGAAACTATGGATGGCTTCTAATTGTTGGATTGGTAGAGTATATTTATAAAATTTATTTGCTGCCGATCTCATATCCAACGATTCTGGGCATCTTACAACATAGAAAGCTTACAACTTAGATTTGAGAGCATCAAAACAATCTGATGAGGCCTAAGTAATAATAGACTAACCATGTGGGACACCACTATTAGGGAAGGCTGTTCTAGAAGAAAGACAGGCTCTCAGGGCAAGATTCCTAGTGTAGGTGTGGTGTAGACTGAGGACCAACCACAGGAAAGGAATGACTTCACACAGAGTCTTGCAGAAGATCACAAGCTACTTCTACCGTTAAAGCCGTGTTTCTCAACCTGGCCAACTTTAAGCAGGGTTCATTCCAAGTCTCAGAATTCCTCAGCCAGTTACGTCGGCTGGGGAAATTTGGGGAGTTGGAAGGTCCACACACCTTAAAAAGTTGCCAAGGTTGAGTAACACCAAAGGGTACAAAAACTACCTAGGGGAGCAGTAGACTCAAGAGAAATGACTTCCATTGGGTGCCAAGTGTCCAAGCTCGAAGGGCAGAGACCGGCCAAGGGTGCATATAATGGGAGGCAGAAATGGGGCTGCCAGGAAAGGAAATCCGGTCCGCAGACCACACTGTTCCACTCTTAAAGTCTCTTAAAAAGCTGCTCTCAGAACTGCGGCTTAAAGTAGCTTGTAAGGTAGAAGAACCTGAGTGGCTGAGCTTGTCGATCAGAAAGGTTGGCGGTTCGGCAGTTCGAATCCTTACTACATGTGTCCTGTATGAACAGGGGGGTTGGACTAGATGACCTCCAAGATCCCTTCCGTGTTACTGTTACCTTTCCCCCCCCTCTCTCTCTCTCTCACACACACACACACACACAAAGAGGTTTAAAATCTGAACGACAAGTTTATGTATGAAAGGGACTTCTGACTTTTAAAAACACTGCTGCTTCACCCCTTTATCCAAGGTGGGTCACAAACATCATATATTCCCCTCCAGAGACCAACTGTTCTCCCCACCCAAAACCCCCCCAAACACCTGGTGCTTTCCAGAGACACAGGACTACAAAACCAATCCCACCGAGCCAGCCATCCTGTGGATCAGGCTAGCCCAGTGTTTCTCACCCTTGGAAGCTTGAAGATGGGTGGACTTCAACTCCCAGAATCTCCCAGCCAGCGCTGCTGGCTGGGGGATTCTGGGTGTTGAAGTCCACCCATCTTCAAGCTACCAAGGTTGAGAAACATTGGGCTAGCAGCTGCCAGCCCTAAAAGCCGGGATTAAAAACCTTGATGGGGAACAGCCTGGAGTTTGGAAAGGAAAGGAAAACTGAAAGGAAGCCCAACCTCCACCTCCACCACCACAAGGCCACTTCCAGAAACAGGGCAGAGCTTTGCCATTTTTGGGGACGGTGGGGGGGGGAGAGAAAGAAAGGGGAAGTTATTGAGGGACAGGCACCCCTTCCCTCCACCCAAGCAGGCTGCACTACAACTCCCATGCTTCCCTCCCCTTCTTCTTATGAAGGCCCGCGGAAATTGTGAGGGGGGGGAGAGAGAGGAAATTGATAGGTCGCCCAAACGATCCTCCGGGCCGGCTGGGGATGAGGGCAAAGTCGCCTCAGCGCTATCTTGAAGGCGGCTGGGAAGGAAGGGAAGCCCGGTTTGGTCGTGGGGGGGGGGCCCGGGGCTTTTTGGAAAAGGTGTGTGAGGAGAACCTGAGGGGGGAGAGGCGGCGGGGGGTGTCGGGGCAGCGGCGGGGGGTCCATCCCGCCTGAGGGGAACGCGTCGACCGGAACGGCGCCTCTGACAGGCCGGGGCGGGGCGGGGCCGGGCGGGCGCGGCAGGTGCGGCCCTACCTGCCGTAGATGCCCTCCGTGATGCGGTTCCGCTTCAGCGGCCGCCGGAGTTTGCTGCAGTCGGCGCTCCGGCGCTTCATCCTCCCGCCCGGCTCGGGGAGTCCCAACCTGGCCTGCTGGCGGCGGCGGCAGCTTCTCCTCCTGCCCCGCCCGGGTCACGGCGACAACATCCGAGCGCGCCGGTCCTCGCGGAGGCCCGGAAAGACTCCCGCTCCCGTTTAGGTGCTCCGGCTCTCTGTCTCCCCGCCCCTTCCTCCCCTCCTTTTTTTTTTTTTTTTTCTCCCCCTCTCGGAAACAAAGAAATAAAAAATAATTTCAGATCCGTCCCTCCCCGCCGCCGCGGCCCCGCGCGCAGGCTCCACGCCTCGCCCCGCCTCCTTTCAAGCCCAGGCCAATCCGCTGCGAGCCAAACAGGAGGGCGATGCGGGGAAGAATCAATCAGCGCGGGGCGAAGGCGAAGAGAGACGGGCGAGCCGGCCAATGAAAAGGAGAGGCAGCGACCGACCGACCGCCCTTTCCTAAGATAACAAGGACCGCCCAGTCGCGCGAACCTCGGGCCTGAAAGTCTGTGACAGAAAGGATTGAAGAGGAGCATGTCCAATCCTGGGGCGGAGTTAGAGTAAAGAGGGGCGGGGCAGACTCAATATTTCCCAATGGGAGAGAAAGAAAGGTGGTGTTTTTTTCCTCCCCCCCACTTTGATCTCAACCTTTGGTTTGGGATTCGGGTACGGCCCTCTACGATTAATTGACGTAAATGCTGACCAATAAAACTCCTCCCGTCATCCGTGGCCCGAAGAGAAGAAGAGGCAAAGAAGAATGCTCCCGCTACTTTCTAAAAGAAGGCTCGCGGACGGATCCGCCCACTCACAAAAGTGATGGTATATTTAGCCAATAAAGATGGCGCTCGACAGAAAGGGCACTGAAGACGACCAATAGAGTTCTGGACTAAGTGGGACTAAGCGTAACAGCCGTGCAAAGTGTCCTGGGAAATCGAGTCTTGGCCAATCGGGGTGGGAGTTCCCCCTCTGTAGCCTTTTGTTAAGGTGGCTGGGTGTCTATTATGAACTGGAGGAGGTTTGCGGTGGTTCCCCCGCCCCCCCTTGCTTACCTCTCAGATTTTCCCATTCCTTTAGTGCCCACATAAGTATGTTCCTCTTTTTTCAAAATATATATTTATCTTCCCCATCCTGAACTGTTTTATTAGGAACTAAGTTGGGTCAAGTTTGAGAGAAGGATTTTTCTTGGTGTAAAGGTATTTGTTACTCAGAAGTTTACTCCTGAAAAAAAAAAAAGTGTATCTGCTTGTATTTACTACTTCTGTTGGATTCTGTTAAATCCAAGAAAAGTTTCGGAAGAAAACAGAACGTTTAATGGGAAGTGGTTTACCAGTATGCTTAATATCTGGTGAGAAATTGGCAAACAACAAAAAGTCGAATGTTGCAAGATACTAAACACCCTGTCTTTGCTGAAAAATATCTGGATGGAGATGACGGAGAAAAAGCCATTTCGGAACTGATGTGGAAGGTTATTTATTTATTTATTTATTATTTATTTATTCAATTTCTATACCGCCCTTCTCCCGAAGGACTCAGGGCGGTGAACAGTTAAAATAACATACATATAAAATGTGAATACAAGATGATTAAACCAATTTGGTTCATCGGTTAAGAATTTACAGCATAAAGATTTAGAACAATTAGAAGAGATTTATGCCAGCCTAGCTTGGTGAAATAGAAAGGTCTTAAGTGCACGACGGAAAGTACGAAGATCTGGGATCATTCCTATCCCTGGGGGTAACCTGTTCCAAAGGGTAGGTGCCCCCACAGAAAAGGCTTTTTCTCTGGAAACCACCAGTCGACATTGCTTTAGTGATGGCACCCTGAGGAGGCCCACCCCGTGGGAGCGTGCTGGTTGGTGGGAGGTTATTGTTTGCAGAAGGTGGTCTCATAAGTACCCAGGTCCTAAGCCATGGAGCACTTTAACGGTAAGAACCAACACCTTGAAGCGCACTCGGAAGACCACCGGGAGCCAGTGCAGTTCGCGTAGGAGAGGTGTTACATATGAGCGCCATGTTGCTCCCAATATCACCTGCGCAGCTGCATTCTGGACCAGTTGGAGCCTCTGCGTGCACCTCAAGGGGAGCCCCATGTAGAGAGCATTACAGTAGTCCAGACGGGAAGTGATGAGGGCATGAGTGACTGTGCGTAAGGAGTCCCGATCTAGAAAGGGTCGCAACTGGCGAATCAGGTGAACCTGATAGAAAGCTCCCCTGGCCACGGCTCTCATATGCTCTTCTAAAGACAGCCGTGTGCCCAGGAGGACACCCAAGTTGCGAGCCCTCTCCGTGGGGGCCAATGACTCGCCCCCAATAGTAAGCGATGGTATCAGCTGGCTATATCGGAACGCCGGCAGCCACAGCCACTCGGTCTTGGAAGGGTTGAGTCGGAGCCTGTTTCTCCCCATCCAGATCTGCATGGCTTCGAGGCACCGGGACATCACTGCAAGGGCATCATTGGGGTGGTCTGGGGTGGAGATGTACAGCTGAGTATCATCAGCGTAAAGATGATTGATCTGAAAACAAATCATTTCAAGAAGTGGATGAAGTCTGTGAATTCAACTACATAAGCTAGTTTTGTGGCCATTCACTGATTTCATAAATTAACAGGCTATAGTTTTTTTATACATAGCATAAAGGTTAAAAAACGATATATGCAGTGTTACCTTCATTTTAGATGTCAAAAAGGTTTTGTGGCTCCCGGTGTTTTCTTTTTGGTGGGAAACGGGTCCAAATGGCTCTTCCGAGTGTTTAAGGTTGCCGACCGCTGGTTTAGTGAGACCTGTTTAAATGGACATCAATTTGGAACTTTGCTTTTGTCCCTGGGAGGAATTAGCCAGGAACATGCATTTACAGTATCGTCCTTCTTGTCTCCTCCGAGTTCAAATAAGTGCACCTATGTCAGGCTCACAAAGTTGATGAGAATATGTTAGTGTCTACTTCTGGGAGGTTTTCAATAGTATACATTTTGGTATGACTCTCATGATTGCAGACAACCAGCTTGCTCAATACTAATCAAACATTTGTCAGCACAGGTCAGGCAGTCTCCCTGGCCTGTCTTAGATAAGGGTTAAGTGCTTTGCTAATTCCTTCTAAGAACCCTTATCTCCTTCACAGCTTTCTCTTTTCTTTTCTTTTTTTTTTTCAGTGGAGACTCATGGACTGTTTGAACCAAAGGGACTGTATTAACACTTGCTCGGTCCTTGTTTTGCTGCTTTTCTTTTAAGCCACGATGTCTTCCCAGTATCCTCCCAATCTCCGGATTCGTCTTCCTGCGCTCATTCTTCTTTTGGAAGCTGCTTTAATCCTTATATTTGGCTTCTTCGTTTCTTACGACAACCGCAGTCAAAATCTTGCAAGAGACTACCCAGGTAAGGTTGCGTGCTTGCTGTTGGAGTTGAAGACTGTCTTTGGTGGCATTGGAAGATTATGTAAAGGCTGCTATCTCAGGGAAGTTTCTTCTCTGGAAAGGCTCTGCCAGTTGTGCTGCCTCTTGCAACTCCTCAGCTGTGAGGAATTCAACACTGTTCATTGGGTACAGCCCCAGTTGAGAGGAGAGGATACAGTTAATAGAATAGAAAATAGAGTTGAGTAGAGTAGAGTAGAGTAGAGTAGAGTAGAGTAGAGTAGACTAGACTAGACTAGACTAGACTAGACTAGACTAGACTAGAACAGAACAGAACAGAACAGAACAGAACAGAATTATTTATTGGCCAAGTGTAATTGGACACACAAGGAATTTGTCTTCGGTGCATATGCTCTCAGTGTACATAAAAAGACAAGATACATTCGACAAGAATCATAAAGTACAACACTTAACGATAGTCATAGGGTACAAATAAGCAATCAAATCATACTAGGAAACAATATCAATATAAATTGTAGGATACAAGCAACAAAGTTATAGTCATGCAGTCATAAGTGGGAGGAGATGGGTGATAGGAACGATGAGAAGACTAATAGTAATGCAGACTTAGTGAATATTTGACAATGTTGAGGGAATTATTTGTTTAGCAGAGTGATGGCGTTCGGGGAAAAACTGTCCTTGTGTCTTGTTGTTCTGGTGTGCGAGCCCTATAGCATCCTTTTGAGGGTAGAAATTGAAACAATTTATGTCCAGGATTTGAGAGGTCTGTAGATATTTTCACAGCCCTCTTTTTGACTCGTGCAGTATACAGGTCCTCAATGGAGGGCAGGTTGGTAGTAATTGTTTTTTCTGCAGTTCTGAAGTCTGTGTCTGTCTTGGGTTGCAGAACCAAACCAGACAATTATAGAGGTGCAGATGACAGACTCATTAAACAGATATAGTACAAATCTCCTTCATCTTTAGATAAAATTGAAGGAGATGCATAGCTGAGCCCCTGAAGAGTCTTTGGCACAATCTAGAGATACATGGTCCAGATTTGAGGATAGCCTCTGTCCTCCCCCCAAAAAACTTCAGATTTGTCCCCTCCCCGACCTCCTGCCAAATTACTATCAGATTCTACTTTTTAAAATGAAGGCTGAAATTACTTGCTATTTATATATTTATATATATCTCACCTTTGTGTTTTTTATGAATAATTCAAAACGACGACAGACATATCTAATGCTCCTTCCTCCTCCTATTTTTCCCTCCACAACAACTCTGTGAGGTGGGTTGGGCTGAGAGAGAAGAACTGGCCCAAAGTCACCCTGCTGGCTTTCATGCCTAAAGGCTGTACTAGAACTCACAGTTTCCTGGTTTCTGGTCTGGTGCCTTCACCATCAGACCTAATTTAGCATTAACTGAATTGGATTTACTTTAAATTAACTCTTATCTAGTTTTGGTTCTTATTCCTTGTCCTGTCTGCTCAGTGGTGGGTTTCAATTTTTTTTACTACTGGTTCTGTGGGCATGGCTTAGTGGGTGTGGTTTGGTGGGCGTGGCAGGAGAAGGATACTGTAAAATCTCCATTCCCACCCCACTCCAGGGGAAGGTTACTGCAAAATCCCCATTTTCTGCCGATCAGCTGGCACTCGGGAGGCAGAGAATAGATGGGGGCGGGGCCAGTCAGAGGTGGTATTTGCCGGTTCTCTGAACTACTCAAAATTTCCACTACCGGTTCTCCAGAACTGGTCAGAACCTGCTGAAACCCACCTCTGTGTCTGCTATTCAAAGTTGAATACAACCCTTGGCCTGAAAGGAGTTTGTCTGGTTGTGTTAAAGTATTTTCTCTTGCTCTTAGCTAACAGGGTATAGATCCGGAGCACAAGGTACTCAGGGTTGTCTGCTGTGTGATCAAAAATGTTAAGATGTTGCATAGTATTCTGGCACATTTTTTCCATTCAAAAAGTGTCAGATACAACTCCCTACCTGTGACTGAGCCAAAGACACCAAAAGCCTGAGTCAAGATTAGGAAGGTTCTGATGTGACAAAATTAAGGAAGTGGTTTTAGTATCAGGTCATTTGAAAGAGGGAGCCAGATACAATGGGTCAGCTTTGGAAGCCATATTAACGCTGGAATCTTCCCCGCTGCCAACTTCTTGCGTTTGGGAAAGTGTGTGTGTGTGGGGGGGGGGATTCAGTAGAGTGATTGTAGTTAGACATAATAGCATTCTTCCCTTCAGTCAAAGTAAGGGTGTTCCTGCGTCTGGAGGAGGAGTGGTTGCAGTGATGGCTCAAGTTGGGACGGAGGGTGATTGGACCATGTGACGGACTGATGGGTGCCGGGGCTGGATTGGGAGTTTTGATTTATCAAATTTCTATACCGCCCTACTCCCGGAGGACTCAGGGCGGTGAACAGCCAAGATAAAATACAGATAATACAAGCATTAAAAATCCATTAAAATTATTAAATATTTTGGCCGAAAACAAATTTAAAACACCCAATTTAAATTTAAAACACCCAAGTTAGTTTTGATTTACTGAGGGAAAACCCGGGACTCTCCGATTCGGGTTTTCCCAGATGTGCTAGTATACCTATTCCAATAAATGAAAGTTTGGAGAGGATGCTTGTCTCGGAGTTTTCAATTGGAGTTGGGTCATTCTGGAACTCTGACACAATGCCTCCATGCTCAGAAAAACCTGCATTGTTCTAATAGAACTGTATTAAAATACAGCAGCTCAGAAAGGCCTGTGAGAAATAAATACCATATTTTTCAGAGTATAAGGCACACTGGAGTATAAGACGTGCCTTAGTTTTTGGGGAGGAAAATAAGAAAAAAGCTGATTGGCAGGTGGATCAACCTCCCAGAATACCCCCAATCAGCTGTTCCCAGAGGTGAATTTTAGCAACAGGTTCCTTGGTTGTGAGCTTGGTGCTTTGCATTTTTTTTAATTTTTTTTTCTGCCTCTGAAAGCCTCTGAAGTAGCTTCATAAAAAAAGCCTTTGAAGCTCTGTTTGGGGGCTTCTTTCTGACGCTCTGTTTGGAGGCTTTTTTTCTGAAGCTTTGTTTCTGGTGCTTTTTTCAGCCTCTGAAACCTCTGTTTGAGAAGCTGGGTGGGGCTACATTCGGAGTATAAAATGCACCCAGATTTTCACCCTCTTTTTTGGGAAAAAAAGTGCATCTTATACTCCGAAAAATACTGTATATAATGGATGTACTACAACTTGAATGAAATTACAGCTGGGCAGCAAATGTCCCAACAGTCATTAGATGACAGCAAATCCTCTTAACTCTTTGTTGCCATCCGGTGGCTTTTTGTACCTTGCAGCCTAGACCTGGAACTAACTACAATAAAATAATGATTTCAGACAACGCTAGTACCGGTATCTATGGAGATTCTCAGTCCTTAAGTCATGGTTGTCCCAAAAGGTGCATTTTCAAGAGACAACTGGACTTTCTGGTTTTTCTTTGAAGATGTTTCGCTTCTCATCCAAAAAGCTTCTTCAGCTCTGAACATCCTCTGATCCTTTGGGATAGTACTGGTAGTCCTCAACTTACCCCAGTTTGTTTAGTGACCATTCGAAGTTGCAACGGCACTGAAAAAAGTGACTTGTGACCATTTTTCACACTTATGACCATTGCAGCATCCCCATGGTTGTGTGATTTGCATTCAGATCAGGGGTGAAATCTACTTACCTTCCTTATCAGTTTGGAAGTACGTGCGCACATCATGTATGCATGCACACCTTCTGCACATGCGCAGAAGGTAAAAAAACATTACTTCCTGGTTAAAACTAGGAAGTAATGATACCAGGCGGCGATCGCTATCAGATCGCCGAACCACAGGGAAAAATCGCTACCGGATCGGGTGATCCGGGCTGATCCGGGAGCATTTCATCCCTGATTCAGATGCTTGATGACTGGTTCATATTTATGATGGTTGCAGGGTCATCTGATGCCCTTTGGTGAACTTCTGACAAGCAAAGTCAATGGGAAAGCCAGATTCACTTAACAACGGCGTTACTAATTTAACAACTGCAGTGATTCACTTAATAAATGTGGCAACAAAAGTTGTAAAATGGAGCAAAGCTCACTTAACAACTTTCTCACTTAGCAACATAAATTTTGGGCTCATTTATGGTGGTAAGTTGAGGACTACATGCAATAGTAAATGTCTACGGAGATTCTCCATAGTAGTAGTAGTAGCAGCTGCAGCATTTCTGGGGAAGACAGCTTGTACAAAGTCTTATCTTCACTCTTTCCATAAAAGTCATACTTAGCAAAAGCCATTTGATGGATAGCATCAGGCGATTGTGCCGGGGGAAGTAAGCCTATATTGCAGTTGAGTTCATTCACTTTGATAAGCCGTGATGTGGTTTGTCTGGTTTTAATAACATTTCCCAGTCTTGGCAACTTCCAAACACATGGATCTCGCCACCCAGAATTACCCTTTCAACTCCTTGCTAAGAAGTTAGTTATCAGTTGGGCGGCTATATAAATGTTTTAAATAAATAAAAGTTCAGGCCTCTGGAAGTTGCCGAAGTTAAGCAAACACTTAATGAAAGTTTTGAACTCTCCCATTGCAGTTTGAGAACCATGTTTTATGGCTTAGCAGTACATTGCAAATTGGGCCGCTATGATCTGCATGAATCATGGCTACAGTACACTGTGGCTTATAGCAGGGGTCTCCAATCTTGGTAACTTTAAGCCTGGAGGACTTCAGCTCCCAGCAAAGCTGGCTGGGGAATTCTGGGAGTTGAAGTCCTCCAGGCTTAAAGTTGCCAAGGTTGGAGATCCCTGGCTTATAACACAGAGCCTTCTTTTTTGAATGAAGAAAGGGGTATGGGAGTGAGTGATGTGTATGTATAAATGTGTGCATACATATAAAGGACAGAGAGAAGCATGTTCCTTGTCTTTCCTGAACATATGTGTGCATAGGCAGACCTCTTCTACCGGTTACATGGGGTGCCTAGGATCCAAAGCTTGAAAGTCCATGTGTCCTTTAGTTTAAGATCCAATTGAACAGACAGCACCAATCAATGATTGGATTGATGCACCTCACTCTAAGCCAGAGGTCTCCAACCTTAGCAACTTTGAGACTTGTGGACTTCAACTCCCAGAATTCCTCAGCCAGTAACTCTGGGAGTTGAAGTCCACAAGTCTTAAAGTTGCCAAGGTTGGGGACCCCTGCGCTAAGCCCAGCCAAGGATGGGAAATGGTGGCCCCTCTATGACCTGTGAACTTCGACTCCCAGAATTCCTGAGCCAGCCAGGTTGTAAAGGGGCCATCATCGTTCCCCACCCCTGCTCTTAAGCCATGATTTGTGAATAAACTGCCTTGGCTCGGATTACGCAGCAAGCTGAGTTGAAGCCAAACGAATCACATGAAGGCTCAGTATGATGTGGCGATTACAGCTGGGTCTCCTGGATGGAGGGGGGGTTTCCCAGCTCTCCTTGACACAAGTGTTCTGTGTTCCCTACAGTATTTCAAGATGTCAACCTCATGGTGATTTTTGGATTTGCCTATTTTCTGGCCTTCCTGCAGAGATACGGCTTCAGCAGCATCGGATTCAACCTTCTCCTCGCTGCCCTCGGAGTACAATGGGCCGTTCTTGTCGACGGATTCCTCTTTCACTTCTCAGCTGGGAAAATCAGGATAAATCTGCAAAGGTAGAGGTCAATGGTCACGGAGCTTGGTTCTCTGCTAGGAATTCTGTCCACCTCATCTCATAGGGTTAAGGGAAAATGGGAGAAAGGAGTATTGGCTATGTTCTGCTTTGTAAGGTAAAAGGTAAAGATTCCCCTCGCACATATGTGCTAGTCGTTTCCGACTCTAGGGGGCGGTGCTCATCTCTGTTTGAAAGCTGAAGAGCCAGCGCTGTCCGAAGACGTCTCCGTGGTCATGTGGCCGGCATGACTCAACGCCAAAGGCGCACGGAACGCTGTTACCTTCCCACCAAAGGTGGTCCCTATTTTTCTACTTGCATTTTTTACGTGCTTTCAAACTGCTAGGTTGGCAGAAGCTGGGACAAGTTACGGGAGCTTACCCCGTTACGCGGCACTAGGGATTCGAACCGCTGAACTGCCGACCTTTCGATCAACAAGCTCAGTGTCTTAGCCACTGAGTCACCGCGTCCCTCTTTTACACTCTATACACATATAGAGAAATGCTAACTTCAGTTAATCTTTTATATTGAGTAAACACATTGTTGTGTTTTTGTTTGAAAACATTACATCACAGACTGAGCCAATCTGCATTCTCCCCCATGTTTCCCTGAGTCACATTTCTAAAATAAACACAATATTTCCAAATTTGGGGTAAGATGTAGCAGCGGCAACAAGGCTAGGTGGGATGTTACATAACAGCAGAATGAGTATGGCCTTCAGTTACAATATTTCTTCAGGAATGTCTAAAGAACCTACTTGTTCTGAATATAAGACCCCCTCAGATCAGTGGGACTTCTGTTGAGTTTAAAATTGCAGCGGGATTACCAGGAAGAGATAGAAGGCTTCAGCATTCAGTCATTGTCAGCTGGAGATTTCAACTTGCAGAATCCTGATAGGTAAAGATTAGTATTTAGCAACCTCTTATCTTCTATTCCTTCTCAAACTGTCCATTTTCTTCAGTTATCAGCTCTGAAGAAACTCAGCACAATGTGTTTAAAGACATGTGCGTGGACTATAAATACACTTCAAAGTTCCTGAAGAAGTGCACATTTTAAGAGGGGTCAAAAACAAAACAAAACAAAAGGAGGGATAGAGAGACCAAATGGATTTATGGATGAATACAGATCAAGGAAACCTGGAGGAATACAGACAAAGCTGGAAAGCTGACAGCCTAGGGTTCAAGATCCGAGAACGCTGTGCAATGGGGTGAGCTCCAGTTACTTGCCTCAACTCCTGTACACCTAGCAGTTCGACAGCGTACAAATGGAAGTAGGTAAATAGGCACCACTTTGGTGGGAAAGTCACAGCGTTCCATGCGCCTCGGCATACAGTCATGCTAGCCAAATGACCATGCAAATGTTTTCGGACGATGTTGGCTCCCTTAATTAAGAAACAGAGATGAGCACTGCCCTCTAGAATCGGACACGACTGGATAGGGAAAACCTTTACCTTTACTTTATAGATCAAGGAGACCCAGAGAAGCTGGCTGGACTTTTGGGATGAACTGAGATGTTAGAGGTGTCAGGTTGGGGGGAGAAACAGGAGGTTCAAAGGGGAGGGTGAGAAAAGGATAATAGCTACAACCAAATGATTGAAGCCCTGCTCCCTTTTACATCCGTAACCCTCCTTTTATGCCTATAAAAGGGGAGAGGGGGGTTCAGTTGCATGGCTGTAGCCCCCATCTTGATTTTGTGACACCCTCCCTGTGGACATTCCTGGGAAGAAGCCCACCGTGAACTGCCACCATGAGTTCCTGTCAGAAATTTTTTTACTACCAGTTCTGTGGGCGTGGCTTGGTGGGCATGGCAGGGGAAGGATACTGCAAAATCTCCATTCCCACTCCACTCCAGGGAAAAGATACTGCAAAATCTCCATTCCCTCCCCACTCCTGGGAGAAGGATATTGCAAAATCTCAATTCCCACCCCACTCTGGGGCCAGCCAAAGGTGGTATTTGCCGGTTCTCCGAACTACTCAAAATTTCCGCTACCGGTTCTCCAGAACCTGTCAGAACCTGCTGAATTTCACCCCTGGTTCCTGTGCATCTAACTGCCCCTCTGCCATCCTTGTTTTTCCCCACCTCCAAAGGACGGCTTCCTTCCAAACCGTTGAACCCAAGAGGCAATAGGTCTGATTAAATATTAGCTTTGCACAGGTGCCCATATTATTTATGATTTCAAAATTAATGACCCTGTCTCCCTTTTAATTAGGCACTCCATCTTCTTCCCTGATAGATGACACTTCTGCCCCCATGCACGCTCATGCATTTGCCCCAGAAGGTGTGGGTGAGCGGATTAATGTATGTGCACATCACCGTGAAGGCATCTCCTACTATTTGCATCTCACCAGTACCATAAACCTCTTTTTGACTCCTTTAAAAAAAAATGAGTAAATTCCTCTCTCTTCAAAACAATACCCACAATGCATATAAACTGTTCTTTTTTTTTTTTTAACCTCTTTTAATGATCTCGTGTTAGGCATCATAAGACAAAATGAGCTCTTTCACGGTCAAGAACCAAATATAAGATTTGGAATGAGGTGAGGGCTGCTTGTGGATTGAAGCAATGATGGCAGAGGGTATTACATACTTACGCCAAGCCATTTTTAACATTTCCCTCTAGCTTTGAGGGAACAATATTCCTCCAAATCAGGGGTGAAATGCTACCGGTTTGCTACAATTCGGGCGAACCAGTAGTGATAAAAACTACTGGTTTGGGCAAACCGGTAGTAAAAAAAATGCTACCGGTTAGGGCAAATTGGTAGTTAGCAACCGGTTCGGTTAAACCAGTAGTTAAAAAAAGCTACTGGTTCCTCCGTACTGGTATTTCTGACGATCAGCTGTGCAACAGGGTTTAGCTTTCTAGCAAAGCTAAATCGTGTGCCACAGCTGATTTCTCCCCCCCGCTGTTCTATTTACCCTCCCAAGCCTCCTTTTGACATGTACTATGCATGCGCATGCAGTGTGCGTTTGCCGCACAGCACACATGCATAGCCAGTGAACCAGTAGCAAACTGGTTCTGATTTCACCACTGCTCCAAATCCAAAATTCTTTTTTATATCCGACTTACCAGTGCTTGCAAACTTTTTCTGTTTTGTTTCAATTACCATATTTTTTGGAGTATAAGATGCACCGGAGTATAAGACGCACCTACCTTTTTTGGTGAGGAAAAGAAGAAAAAGAAATCTCCCTCTGCCTCTGCCCAATTTTGTCTCGTTGCAGCAAACAGCCTGCTTTACTTTCAGTTTCATTTTCATGCCTAGCTTGATTAGCACAAGGAAAAAAAAATCTGCTCCAGCAATTTACCTCTTTGCAGCAAGCAGCAGAGCCCTGCACAAAACAGCTGAGAGCAAATCAGCTGAGAGTCAGGAAGCCAATCCAATCAACTTGTGCTAATTAGACTGTGTTGAAGCTAAAAGGAGCTGTTTTTTCTTGTTGTTTGCTTGCAAGGAGGTTAACTGCTGCGAGGCAGAGGCCAAAGGGTGGGGGCCAGTGAGTGGGTGAGGCTACATTCGGTGTATAAGACGCACCTAAATTTTCACCCCCTTTTAGGGGGGAAAAAGGTGTGTCTTATACTCCGAAAAATATGGTAAGTAATCATTTTTGAAACAAAAGTGTTCTGATTGATCAGGGGCACTGCAGCATTCCTTACACCAATGTAGGGACTTATTGATTTCTTGTGGTTACAGGACTATCACAGGTTTGCAATGTATGTAAGAGTTGTATTATTAGGGTTCTTAATTTTGTAAATATACTTCCAAGGAAACATGTTAGCTTAAGGCAGGGTGGGCAATTGTGGCTCTTTTACAACCTGTGGACTTCAACTCCCAGAATTCTGGGAGTTGAAGTTCACAGGTTGTAAAAGAGCCACAGTTGCCCACCCCTGCCTTAAGGCAATGTTTCTCAACCTGGGCACCTGTAAGCTGTTTGGACTTCAATTCCCAGAATTCCCCTGACTGGAGAATTCTAGGAGCTGAACTCCATGCAGGTTAAAGTTGCCCAGGTTGAGAAACATTGCCTTAAAGGCACTCACCATGCACTCCCATTGAGTGAGATTCTAGAAAGAGTGCAGAGAAGAGCAACAAAGATGATTAGGAGACTGGAAGCTGAAATATATGAAGAACAGTTGCAGGAACTGGGTATGTCTAGTTTAATGAAAAGAAGGACCAGGGGAGACATGATAGCAGTGTTCCGATATCTCAGGGGTTGCCACAAAGAAGAGGGAGTCAAGCTATTCTCCAGAGCATCTGAGGGCAGGACAAGAAGCAATGGGTGGAAACTAATCAAGGAGAGAAGCAATTTAGAACTAAGGAGAAATTTCCTGACAGTTAGAACAATTAATCAGTGAAACGAATTGCCTCCAGAAGTTGCGAATGCTCCAACACTGGAAGTTTTAAAGATGATGTTGGATAACGATTTGCCTGAAGTGGTGTAGGGTTTCTTGCCTAAGCAGGGGGTTGGACTAGAAGACCTCCAAGGTCCCTTCCCTTCCCTTCCCTTCCCTTCCCTTCCCTTCCCTTCCCTTCCCTTCCCTTCCCTTCCCTTCCCTTCCCTTCCATTCCATTCCATTCCATTCCATTCCATTCTATTCTATTCTATTCTATTCTATTCTATTCTATTCTATTCTATTCTTTGAGAAAACCGCCATAGGGAAAGCAGAAAACTCTCTAGATTTAATTGGAAAAGAATCTCATCATCTCATAACATCCTGCTGGTTTCTCTCTCTCTTTCTTCCCACCAGCATTTTAACTGCCATTATGAGCATCACCACAGTGTTGATTTCAACGGGCGCAATACTTGGCAAAGCCAATCTCATGCAGTTGACCTTGATGGCTATGGTGGAAGTGACCGTCTTCACCGTCAACAGGTGGATGGCTGTGAATCTTTTGCAGGTACAAAGCTGTCCCTTTGCCAGAATGTATTCAAATCAGTGGCCTAGTTCGGGGGTCTCCAACCTTGGCAACTTTAAGACTGGTGGACTTCAACTCCAAGGATTCGTTAGCTGAGGAACTCTGGGAATTGAAGTCCACAAGTCTTAAAGTTGCAAAGGTTGGAGACCCCTGGACTAATTCACACTTCACATTACTTTAGAACATATAACATAAGTGACTGGTCAAGTTAATCTAGCAACTTGATTTTGACTTTGCGTACAGTGTGAACAGGATACAGGTAGTCCTCAACTTACGACCACAATTGAACCCAAAATTTATATTGCTAAGTGAGACATTTGTTAAGTGAGTTTTGCCCCATTTTACAACTTCCCTCATCACATTTGTTAAGTGAATCACCGCAGGTTTTAAATTGGTAACCTGGTTGTTAAGTGAATCTGATCAGAAGGTCGCAAAAGAGAGATCACATGACTCCGGGACACTATAACCGTCATAAATGCGAGTCGGTTGTCAAGCATCTGAATGTAAATCTCATGACCGTGGAGATGCTACAATGGTCATAAGTGTGAAAAATGGTCATAAATCACTTTTTTCAGTGCCATTGTAACTTCAAACGGTCGCTAAATGAACTGTTGTAAATCGAGGGCTACCTGTATTGTAATTTGTAAGCTGTGAGCTGCAGTTTATGACCAGAGGGCAGGAATAGTGGAATTGCACTTTAAATGCCTTTACCTTTCAACACTTACATATTTTTGGAAAGGGCAGAAGGAAGGCATGTCCTGGATGTGGGAGGGACTGCTTGGCTGGCTAGCGGGAGCTTTCACACTGTCACCTTTTATTATAGATATGGAATATTTTCAGCTTCTTTTTTTTCTTGTGTTTTTTCTTCCCCCCAAAAAATCAAAGTCATAAGCACAGGGATCTTGCATTAATAAGAAAAATTGCTCTGGGTGCGATTTAGCATGTTGTAGGAGCCAGCCAGGGTGGACTACAAATCGTAATTGATGACTTAGTGTTGTGTTTGTTAAACTCAGCACCTTTAAGCCCTGTGGACTTCAACTCCCAGAATTCCCCAGCCAGCCATGCTGGCTGGAGAATTCTGGGAGTTGAAGTCCACACAGTTTAAAACTGCTGAGGTTCAAAAATACTGTAGCAGAGAATTAATTTAACATACCCAGCGGAGCAATTCCAAAAAAGAAAGATTAATCACCCCTTCAGAAGTTTTCCTCCCTTAACCTAACCTTTCTTTTAAACTTTTAAACTTTTAAAAATTTTTAAATTTTAAATTTGTCTTAAGAATTTGGGGTGTTTTAAATTTCGTTTTCCGGGCCAAATTATTTAATTGTATTTTAATGCTTTTTAACATTTGTATTATATGTATTTTATCTGGCTGTTCACCGCCCTGAGTCCTTCGGGAGTAGGGCAGTATACAAATTTAATAAATAATAATAATAATAATAATAATAATAATAATAATAATAATAATAATAATAATAATAATAATAATAATAATAATAATATTAAGCCACTACAGGCTGGCATGTAAAAACCATCCTCCATCTTGACTACATAAGAAATGGCGACTGCTTTTGCTGTCCACAGATCCAGAGCCACGTCAGTGTGATGCACGTCCACTTATTTGGGGCCTACTTTGGCTTAATGGTCTCCTGGACGCTCTACCACTCCTCACTGAGTCGGAAAGCTGAGAAGGAAAGATCCAGAGCCATCTCGAATATGTTTGCTGTGCTGGGTAAGCAGTCTGATTTAGGCATGAGAAAAGGTCAAATGGCGCCCTTCGTGGGGCCGAAATGAATGCATGCCCACCAAATTAGGAGGTTCCCGTGTTGGCCAGTTGCATGACATCCAGTGTAGGACATATTGCTCAGCAGTTGGCATTTGACTTTTGTCTCTTATTTCAGAATGACTCTGGCAATTTAGCTGCTAACGCGGAGAGGTGTATTGATAGTAATGGTGACTCAGTTGCTGGATTTTATAGAGGACATTAGATCTCTTCCAATCTGGACTCAGGCCAACTTTTCGGAATTGAGATTGCCCCGGCGCTTGGATCCTCAAGAGCAGAGGTGTCAAACTCAATTTCATTGAGGGCCGCATCAGGGCTGTGGTTGACCTCGGGGAGGGGGGCAGGTGTGACTTTCTGGGTAGGTGTGGCCAACTGGGTGGGCGTGGCCAGCTTGACACCACTCCCCAAACTGCTGGCATGTTTCCTCTTTGCATTGGGTAGACCGGTCCGAAGCCACGCTGGCCCAATTTTTCCTCTTTGCATTGGGTAGACTAGGACGGCTCCGTGGGCTGGATCTGACCACATCGCAGGCCGAATCCGGCCCGCGGGCCTTGAGTTTAACACCCCTGCTCAAGAGGCTCTTTGTGGAAACCCAGGTGTTTGCAAAAGACTAAGGACCACTCTCCGATCATTATCCTGACTTAAAAAGAAAATATAAGAGTAATATTAAAAGGGAAGGAGTATGCTGCAAAACAGTGTACAAGTAGCTGTCGACTTATCAATCAAACATTTAACAACCATTCAAATTTACAACAAAAAAAAACCAACAACTTGGGACCAACCCTTGTGTTCTGCCCCAGCTACGGACCACAAAGAACGCAGCACACACAAAGTCCGTACCAACCTTAGTTTACTAATTAAGGACTACTAATGAGCTTTCTTAGTAGTTGTTCAAAACAAGTACAGTTTAAATCAGTCTTTTCTGAACAAGGGCTGTTAATTTAACTTCATTAACAGCCGACAAGAGTCCAAGGAATAATAACTGAATTCTGAGGCACAGTCTTTCAGATAACTGTAAGCTTACTGTGGTTGGCAGAATGCCCAGAAGCAATTTGCAGGAAAAATGACAAAAGAGATCAGACGTTTCTGGAGTCAATATGCGAAGGAATATGAACGAAGTTGTTTTCTGCAAATTGCCTCAGTCGTCGTCATTCCTTAAATAGCTGTCTCCGGAATTCTGGGAGTTGAAGTCCACAGGTTGTAAAAGAGCCACAATTGCCCACCCCTGGGCTAGGGGAGTGGCCAATTAGCCCCAAGCCTTACTCTCGAGGAGACCTCCTCCTGAGGAGCCATTCCTGCGCGCCCGTGCATTGAGAAGAGGCTCCTCCTCTTCTTCCTCTTCACTTATGGGAGCTTCTGGAGGTTCTGAAGGCCTTGGCTGAATCTCCGCCTCTGGCACCAAATCTTCTCCAGCCTCCTCATTGTCTGACTCAGGTCCCAGCTGCACAGGCTGCTGGCGAATCACCACACCAGCCTCCTTGCTGTCGGAATCAGCTACCAGCTGCACAGGCCGCTGGCGGGCCACAACATCTTGCTCTTACAACTACTGCAGCATCCCCACAGTAATGTGATCAAAATTCGGGGCAACCAGCATGATTTACAATGATTGCAGCATCCTAGGGTCATATGATCACCATTTGTGATAGTTACCCAGCTGACTTTTGCCAAGCAAAGTCCATAGGGGAATGGCGGATCCTGAATCCACAGCAGATTCGGGGAACGGCTTCCTGATTCACTCAACAACTGCGTGCTTTACTTAACAACATGGCAAAAATCATAAAAATTGGGCATGGCTCACTTAATAATTGCCTTGCTTAGCACTGGAAATTCTGGTCCCAGTTGTGGTCTTAAGTCAAGGATTACCTGTATTTGTTATCTCAGATGGATCTCACATTGGCATGCTTAAAAAATGAAAAGGGCACAGATTCGGTCATCACAGAACTGCAGAACTGGAGGAGAGGATCTGCAGAGGGTGAGAAAACCAAACTTCTACAAAACTCTCCAAAGATAGAGGACTTACAATATCGGTTAACAGATTTTCTACTGTTGTTCAAATCTTAACATCAAGAAAATCTGGGTCAGTGTCTCTTAACCTTGACAACTTTAAGATATGCAGACTTCAACTCTTGGACTCCAAACATTTTAGAGTTGCCAAGGTTGAGAAACTCTGATTTAGGTAGTTGAATCTGTTACAACCTGCTTTGTTATTTCTGACCCTGGTTTCTATGGCCATGTAAAAGAATTGGCCATCTTCTTTGCAGCTTCTCTTTTTAAGTACCTGAACATCAGAGGTGGGTTTCAGCAGGTTCTGACCAGTTCTGGAGAACCAGTAGCTGAAATTTTGAGTAGTTTGGAGAACCGGTAGTAAAAATTCTGACTGGCCCTGCCCCCATCTATTCTCTGCCTCCCAAGTCCCAGCTGATCGGGAGGAAATGGGGATTCTGCAGTAACCTTCCCCTGCCACGCCCACCAAGCCATGCCATGCCCACTAAGCCACACCCACAGAACCGGTAGTAAAAAATTTTGAAACCCACCACTGCTGAACATGGTTATCACACCTTCAAACAATCGTCTTTTCTCCAGATGGAACGTCTCATATTCCTTCAGTCAATCCTCTTCCATTCTCTCTTCCAATAACGCAGAAGGCAGAGAATTCCGTCTGGCAGATGAACAAACTTCCCGGCGAAGCAGCCACACACAGTATTGATTAGATAATTTAGCAAGTGTAAAAGAACTTCTGAACTGGCGTAGCGTCAGTTATTTCTACAGATCATTACTAAATCCATCAAGGATGCCTGCAGGGCATGGACAGAAAAGTTAAAAACAACTAACCACAACAGTGCTATCCAAGTTCTGCCTGTTTTTATGGACACTATATGACACGGTATATGACACACTATATATGACACACGCACACACACACACGCATTATACACACACATATATATACACACACACATACAGTATATGCATATACATACATACATACATACACACATACATATACATATACATACATACATACATACATACATACATACATATACATACATACATACATATATATATATGTAAAAAGTTAAAATCTCGGGTGTTTTCCCGCGTCATTTAAAAGTCTGTTAGTTAAAATGCTTAAAATCCTGGCATATATATATATGCCTCAGTGGCTCAGATGTTGAGTTTGTCGATCGAAAGGTCGGCAGTTCAGCGGTTCGAATCCCTAGTGCCGCGTAACGGGGTGAGCTCCCGTTAACTTGTCCCAGCTTCTGCCAACCTAGCAGTTTGAAAGCACGTAAAAAATGCAAGTAGAAAAATAGGGACCACCTTTGGTGGGAAGGTAACAGTGTTCCGTGCGCCTTTGGCGTTGAGTCATGCCGGCCACATGACCACGGAGACATCTTCAGACAGCGCTGGCTCTTCGGCTTTGAAACGGAGATGAGCACCACCCCCTAGAGTCAGGAACGACTAGCACCTATGTGCAAGGGGAACCTTTACCTTTACCTTTTATATGACAAGCATAAAAAAACAGGTGGAGCTTTGATCATACCGTTGTGGTTGTCATCTTGATTGGCCCGAGCATACTCTGCAGATACCCTTGTCCGTGGCTCCTTTAATGAAAGATTATCATACTGTGCAAGTACAGTTACAGATAAATGGACAGATCATGAAAGAGAATGCCGAAGGAGCTGTAAAACTGAGCCCTGGTCTGTTGATATTTATTTACGTTTTGGCAGAGAGCCCTGTCTGGGGTGGATTATGACTCTGCTCTGAGCAACCTATCTTAGAAAGAGCTCTGAGCCATTGCTTTCTGCTCAGGGAGAGATAAACAGACTCCCTGCTTCCTAGAAGGTCAAGGACAGGGAACACCCATCCAACTGGTGTCTGGATCTTGCCTGCAACCTATCAGCCTCCCACTGTTGGCTGAAAATGTCTCTCCTTGAAAACTAATAATAGGAATTAAGCATACAGGGAGATGCTCTTTTAAATAAAATGTGGCTTAATTTTTAAAGTCGTCCTTGGGTTGCAACGGCAATCGAGAGCAGGATTCTTATCGCTAAGCGCTAAAAGGCCATAAAATGCAACAGCTCCTGACTGCAGCGGCAACAGCAACTCCAGGGTTGCCAAAGTGCCATCACAACCCTCAAGAGGTGCTAGATTTTAAGCAGCAAGTGGCAGGAGTTGTGTGTTAAGAAAGTGCAGGGGTGCCGCAGAGGGTGTGGGGAAAGCCCTGCGGGGTGGCGGAGGGGGAGACTGGCTCAGGTCATGCATGAGCACAAGGAGGCTGATTGGGGGACTTAGCCGAACGACCTGCAACCTTTTCTGCCAGCTTCCCCATGGATTTTGCTTGTGGGAAGCTGGTAGGGAAGGTGGCAAATTGCAATCACCTGAGAATAGGATAGGATAGGATAGGATAGAATTAGAATAGGATGGAATGGAATGGAATGGAATGGAGGGGAGAATAGGATAGGATAGGATGGGATGGGATAGGATGGGATGGGAGGGAGGAGGGGAGGGGAGGGGAGAATGGAGGGGAGGGGAGGGGAAAATGGAATGGAACAGAATGGAGGGGAGGGGAGGGGAGAATGGGAGGGGATGGAGGGGAGGGGAGAATGGAATGGAATGGAGGGGAGAATAGAATGGAATGGAGGGAAGGGGAGAATAGGATGGGATGGAATGGAATGGATGGGAGAATGGAATGGACAGGAGGGGAGGGGAGAATAAGATGGGATGGAATGGAGGGAAGGGGAGGGGAGAATAGAATGGGATGGGATGGGATGGGATGGGATGGGATGGGATGGAGGGGAGAATGGAATGGAATGGAATGGAGGGTAGTGGAGAAGAACAGAACAGAACAGAACAGAACAGAACAGAACAGAATAACAGAGTTGGAAGGGACCTTGGAGGTCTTCTAGCCCAACCCCCTGCTCAGGCAGGAATCCCAATACCATCTCCGACAAATGGTTGTCCAATCTTATAGGGGTGTTGCAAGAGCTGGAAATTTGAGGACTGGTTGTAAGTACCACTCATTCAGTGCTGTTGCAACTTAAAATGGTTGCTGAATAAATGGTTGGTAAGTGAGGATTACCTGTCAACATACAGGGGTTAATTTAAGTCAAAAGTCAAGGAGTGGATTTATACACTGTATTAAGCCTGCCAATGGGTGGTTTGGGTTGGTGTAGTATAGTGTAATATATAATGTCGCCCTTTTTGGGGGCGCAAGCAAACAGATCCATACGTGAAAGTTTCAGGTTAGCTACTTTATTGCGTTCCACCCAGAGGTGGGATTCAGCTGGTTCGCACCACTTCGGGAGAACTGATTGTTAACTTTCTAAGCAGTTTGGCAAACTGGTTTTTGGAAGAAATCATTAGGGCAGAGAACCGGTTGTTAAATTACTTGAATCCTACCACTGGTTCCACCTATATTAAAAGAATCTCTCCCGTCTGCTTCCCTTCCCTTGGGAATGAACAGATGAAGTCCTATGGAACTCGGAGGCCCAAAATTTAGAGGAATAACCAAGATGTACAAATCTACTTATCAAGGTAGAGAAACCGGCGAAAAGAGCAATATGAAATACTGGTATCAGCATTTTCCAGAGGCATCTTTTGAAATACTTATTCTGATCCCTGGTTGATAGAAGGATAGATGACAGAACAGTCCACTCTTTGCCAGGGTGAATTCCAGACTTAACGTAGGCAATCTTTCACGTCCGTCATAAATTATAAGCCACTTGCACCTGTTATTTCTCTTCAAACAACATTGCAAAGAGAGATTGGGTTACAAAGCTCCTTGAGTGAATACTGGTTCTGCCACTTACTCTGACTGATAGATCAAATGTTCAGCATAGATTAACAAAAAAAAAAGAGAGAGAAGTATCCAAAGATGGGACAATAATACTAGCGCTTCCAGATCTGGGCTGCAAAACATCCAGATGTCCATTAGATGGCAGCAAAGAAACACAGGAAAACCGAAATCTTTGCTGCCATCTAGTGGACCTGATGTCAGGCTCCAAAAACCAAGAAAGTCGCTGGAGTTTCATCTAAGAAGTTTCCTTTTATTGTTCCTCACCTATTGACAGAAATCTTGCCAAACTGAAGCAAAGTATTTGCATCATTAAAGATACACTCTGAGAAACTTGAGGAAGGAGCTGTCTTGACCCTCTTCCTCCCAACCAAAGTATCTAAACCAGCTATGGCGAACCTTTTCAGCACCAAGTGCCGAAAAGGTTGTGTGGAAACATCCCACGCGCAAGCACCTGCTCGCGCTCGTCGGGGCCGTGCTCTGGAAAAGCCAAACTTCCGGGTTCTAGCGTTCATGCACACCTGACGATCAGCTGGCCAGCACACATGCACAGGCCGGTTTTTGGCACTGCCGTGCGCGCAAAGGGACCGCACTCCAGAAAAGCCGAACTTCCGGGTTCTGGAGTGCATGCACACAACTGGTTTTCCACAGTGCCACGCGTCCGAAGGATGGCTGATCGTCACGTGTGCATGCGTGCCAGAAACCCAGAAGACAAACAAGCAAGGCAGTGCGTGCCGGGCGACATGGCTTTGTGTGCCACTTTGGGCACGCGTGACATAGGTTCGCCATCACAGATCTAAACGTTGCTGTCTCTTCTTCCTCTGGAATGCAGCCTGTCCCTCTTGGGAATCCTGACTACATTCCCATCACACCTGTAGACTTCTACAAGTCAAGGCTGTCAGCCTTAACCCTGGTAGTTTGCTTACGGTATGCCAGATACACAGGGGGAAATTGCTAGAGAGAAGTGCTGTGATAAGCAGAAGCAAGTCACAGGCTTATAAAGTTCCGTATTTCTGGACTACATGTTTCCATTCCTTATCAAATCAGACCAGTGGTGCAGTGGTGGGTTCCTCCCGGTTCCGCTGAGTTGGTAGCGGTGACGATATGATGTTACCGAACCAGTTCGGCCCCCCCTCGCTCCCCCGCTCCCTCACCCCCCGCATTATTCTAACCTTTTATTTGGCCCCACCCCCAGTCTATTGCTGCCTCCTGAGTCCCAGCTGATGGCTAGAGGGGAAAAAACTGTTTAAACTCTTGTCGCGGGGCTTCAAAGGGCCGCCCTACAGCTGATCAGTGTTAAAAGAAAACAAAAGAGTAGACCGGTGCCTGCAAAAATAAATGGGTAGACCAGTGCCTGCAAAAATACATGAGTAGATCTGGGTAGACCAGTGCCTGCAAAAATAAATGGGTAGATCGATACAGCTCTGCAAGCAGTTAAAAGCCTGGTAGACCAGTACCTCTGCTAAATCCTAAATAATTGTCACATGACCATCAAGCCACGCCCACAAAATAAGCCACGCCCACAGAATCAGTAGTAAAAAAATTTAGAACCCACCCCTGCAGTGGTAGGTTGCCCCCCGTTCGGACAAGTTCGCAAGAACCGGTAGTAAAACCGGCGGGAGGCTCTGGCCACTGACCCGGACATCATCAGGAAGCATCTGCCAATGTGCAGAAGCGCGCACGTGCGTGCAAAGCAAGCGCGCGTGGGCGGCCCCGTTGCAAACTGGTAGTAAAGGTAAGTAGAACCCACCCCTGAATCAGACACTTCCTTTAGGTCTATATGTCTTTGGAGAAGTTGCAAGGAATGGCGAATTGTAAACATTGATTTGATTTGTTTGAGAAGATAATCTGCCCTTTCTTTAGCATTCTCCGCAGGCATGGTGCCTAATGCAAGACCTTATCAGAATAACAGAATTTGAAGGGACCTTGGAAGTCTTCTAGTTCAACCCCCTGCCAGCAAGGTCATCTGGATGAAAGAGACTGCTAAAAACTGGAAGCAAAGATAGCACCTTTGTCAAACTAACAACTTTGATTAAGAGGCTGCAAGCTGTTATTTATTTGTCAGAGAAAGTGTTTCCAGACTTTACTGCTCTAGACTAGCAATGTCTCTCCTCCCAGAATGATGAGAACTGGAGCTCAGTTGGGTTTGAGAGTTTAACCATTTTTCTCTCTTGTGGTTTATCAGGTACCCTCTTTCTCTGGATCTTCTGGCCCAGCTTCAATTCTGCCCTGATCACGGAAGAAGACAAGAAATGGACTGCCATCTACAACACCTACTTTGTGATGGCTACAAGCACCATTGCGGCTTTCTCTTTCTCAATGGCAACCAGCAAAAATGGAAAACTCAGCATGGTGAGACAGAACAGAAGCATCTGTTTCCTTAGCCAGAAGAGCAGTATTCTTGATCCTGTAACCCTCCAGGTGTCAGGGCAAGAAGCTGCCACCCAGTGGATCTGGAGAGGAGCAAGTTGCACAACACTGGTGTAGAACAGCATTTCTCAACTTTAGCAACTTTAAGCTATGTAGACTTCAACTCCCAGTATTCCCTAGCCAGCCATGCTGTATGCGGAATTCTGGGAGTTGAAGTTCAAATACCTTAAAATGGCTGAGGTTGAGAAACCCTGGTTTAGAATGAGTGAGGCTAGATAATTAAAGGGTTCCCCTTGCACATATGTGCTAGTCGTTCCCGACTCTAGGGGGCGTTGCTCATCTCCGTTTCAAAGCCGAAGAGCCAGCGCTGTCCTAAGACGTCTCTGTGGTCATGTGGCTGACATGACTAATTGCAAAGGCGCACAGAACGCTGTTACCTTCCCACCAAAGGTGGTTCCTATTTTTCTACTTGCATTTTTTTACGTGCTTTCGAACTGCTAGGTTGGCAGAAGCTGGGACGAGTAACGGGAGCTCACCCCGTTACGTGGCCCTAGGGATTCGAACCGCCGAACTGCCAACCTTTCGATCGACAAGCTCAGCCTCTTAGCCACTGAGCCACCGCGTCCCTTAATCACCGCTAGATAATTAGGTTAAGGTTATTTTGAGTTTCTTTCTCATCCTTTCCTCTTTCTCAGGACTGTGTTAATTCTTTCTCGAAGTCCTCCCTTAATTCTTTGGCCATTCCTTCTCCATTCCCATAGGTCAGGGATCGGCAACTTTAAACACTAAGAGCCACAAAGATCCTAACTGGAAGCCAACTGGAAGACTGGTTCCCCCACCAGAGAGTCTTCCCCTAGTGTGGCATCCTTTTTTCTCTACCTGTCCTAACCGAAAGCCCTATCAATTGTGGAGGTGACCGGCGACAGGGAGCCACAGCAGAGGGATGAAAGAGCCACATGTGGCTCCAGAGCCGTGGGTTGCTGACCCTTGCCATAGGTCTACATTCCTTCAATAAGATAAAGAGAGACATCATATGTACCACTCTGACTTCCTTGAAAGGCAAAAGATGTTACAAGTCCATACCGTATTTTTTGGCGTATAAGACGCACCGGAGTATAAGACGCACCTACCTTTTTTGGTGAGGAAAAGAAGAAAAAGAAATCTCCCCCTGCCTCTGCCCAATTTTGCCTTGTTGCAGCAAACAGCAAACAGCCTGCTTTACTTTCATTTTCGTTTTCAGCCTACCTTGATTAGCACAAGGGGGAAAAAAAATCTGCTCCAGCAATTTACCTCTTTGCAGCAAGAAGCAGAGCCCAGAGCAAAACAGCTGAGAGCAAATCAGCTGTGAGCCAGGAGGCCAAACCAATCAACTTGTGCTAATTAGCCTGTGCTGAAGCTGAAAGGAGCTGTTTTTTCTTGCTGTTTGCTTGCAAGGAGGTAACTGCTGCAAGGCAGAGGCCAAAGGGTGGGGGCCAGTGGGTGGGTGGGGCTACATTCGGTGTATAAGATGCACCTAAATATTAACCCCCTTTTAGGGGGGAAAAAGATGCGTCTTATACTCCGAAAAATACGGTAAATGAAATCCTGGTTGAAGCTATTCCAAGGCTATTTTGTCTTTCATGAAGAGAAAGCAGCCACTCAGCTTAAACCCTGGCTCTAATTTCTTCTTCTTTTTTTTTTCAGGCTCACATCCAGAATGCTACACTGGCAGGTGGGGTTGCCCTTGGCTTCTCTGCTTCCGACATCCAACAGCCTTGGATTGCAATGGTTTTGGGTCTGGCAGCAGGCACAATTTCTGTCCTTGGCATGGCCTGTTTACAGGTGACCCTCCCTATTTTAAACCTTTTCATTGCTGGTTATGGAACAAGCAACTGGGACGCTTTAGAATTTTAGCTTTCTGGAGGAACTTTTCTTGAATATGTCCCGGATATGTGCTAGTCTTTTTGGTAGTTATGATGATGCTCACACAGTCCACGTGGCCAAGTCCTCTGCATTCCACATTTCTGTGAAAAGTAGCCTGCAGACTGTTCTATTTAAAGCCCTGCTTTGGGACTGCAAGAAAATTAATACGAGTGTAGGCTATATGTTTATAGATAAACATTGATTGCTGTAACTTCTGATTCCAAAACCTTATCGTGTGTTGCCTTTTCTACATTTCTCTTCCTATCAAACTCAGAAACGCTTGGATCCAGCACTCAAAATCCATGATACTTGTGGAGTTCTTTACACTTTCGGCTTGCCCAGTTTGCTTGGAGGGATAATCCACGTTATTGTCATCCTAACAAACCACAGCAACAATCTCTCCGTGTAAGCAGAATCTGTCTGTTTTTAATACCCTTGATTAATTGTAAGAATCTTTGTTTGATATCAGAGTCAATTATGTGTTGTATAATCAGGTGAAGGCAGTGGTGAAATCCAATTTTTTTTACTACCGGTTCTGTGGGCGTGGCTTGGTGGGCGTGGTGTGGCTTGGTGGGCATGGCAGGGGAAGGATACTGCAAAATCTCCATTCCCTCCCCACTCCTGGGGGAAGGATATTGCAACATCTCCATTCTCACCCCACTCTGGATCCAGCCCAGAGGTGGTATTTGCCAGTTCTCTGAACTACTCAAATTTTCCACTACCAGTTCTCTGAACTGCTCAAAATTTCCGCTACCAGTTCTCCAGAACCTGTCAGAACCTGCTGGATTTCACCCCTGGGTGAACAAGGATGCCTACAGAGAGGGATCTGGTGTGATGGACTGTAGTGAAATGGTAGTTTCCCAGGATGGGGGGAGCACATTCTAAAGAGAAAGGCAGGACAAGTACCATGTCAGAGTTTCTTGCAAAAATCAAATCCAGAAACACACACAGATAACTGATTCAGTAGGATTCATTCACTTCTTTATATACATAATAACAGATGAAGTAAATTTTACAATACCAATAGCAGAGTTCTTCCAACGTGGTAACAAGTAGAGATCAGTTTCCAGTTTCATTTCAGCAGACAGACTAGTTTCGTTTTAGAGCTGAGCAGGCAAGCAAGTCCAGACTTGTTTAGTTTCTGTTTCAGAGCTTCTGCACAGACTCAGTTGCCTAAGTCATGCCCAGACTTCTTCCTTAAGTTTCTAATTCCAAAACAAGCCCCATTAGCTGACCTGTTACCATGCCTATTCATTAACTGATCTATTCCAGTCCATCAATATTCATACTCTGACATTTATTTATTTATTTATTTGTTTTAATTTATATACCACCCTTCTTCAACAGGACTCAGGGCGGTGAACAGCCACGGTAAAACACAACATATAAAATTTAAAAACAGTTTAAAAAACATTAAATAATTTTGGCCATCAATTTAAAATAACCCAATTAAAACCAATTACAAATTAAAACCGCAAGGATGGAGTCAAGCCAGCCTGGCTAGCTGGAATAGATGTGTTTTCAGGGCCCGACGAAAAGTCCAGAGGTCTGGTATCGTGCGTGTCTCTGGGGGTAGGTCGTTCCAGAGGGCAGGTGCCGCTACAGAGAAGGCTCTCCCCCTGGGGGTCGCCAGCCGGCACTGTCTGGCCGACGGCACTCTGAGGAGGCCCTCTCTGTGCGAGCGAACTGGCTGGTGGGAGGCTATTGGCGGCAGAAGGCGGTCTTGTAGATACCCCGGCCCTAAGCCGTGGGCCAGTTCTGTGGGCGTGGCTTGGTGGGCATGGTGTGGCTTGGTGGGCGTGGCAGGGGAAGGATACTGAAAAATCCCCATCCCCTCCCCACTCCAGTAGCAGCACAGCCTGGAGCTGGATTGGAACAGAGTCAGGATTAGGGTGAGAATAGTATTGGTTTAGTCTGGCAAGATTCTGTCTATTGGGTATAAGAAAATAAAGAACTGAACTTTGCCTGGAGTATTCTACGTTGTTCTTGCATTGAGCCTGTCAGATTTTATTCTTGTTGTTATGTTGGATCAGTCTGGAAAGACCCATATACAAATTCCTTCTCAAACATGGAAATCCTTAGGTGACTTTGACTCAGTCACTCTGTTCTCACAAGCCTAGAATTACCTTCAGGTTTTGGATAAGTGATTTGGAAGTTCATATATGAAGTGGTGTATGTGTGTGTGTGTGTGTGTGTGTGTATGTGTACATACATACATACATACATATGAGTTCATATATACATATAGGTGTTCATATATGAGTTCATATATGACACAGTGGCTCAGTGGCTAAGACGCTGAGCTTGTCGATTGAAAGGTCGGCAGTTCAGCGGTTCAAATCCCTAGTGCTGCATAACACTAGGGATGAGCTCCCGTTACTTATCCCAGCTTCTGCCAACCTAGCAGTTCGAAAACACGTAAAAAATGCAAGTAGAAAAATAGGGACCACCTTTGGTGGGAAGGGAACAGCATTCCGTGCGCCTTTGGCATTGAGTCATGCGGGCCACATGACCACGGAGACATCATCGGACAATGCTGGTTCTTCGGCTTTGAAATGGAGATTAGCACCGCCCCCTAGAGTCAGGAACAACTAGCATCTATGTGCGAGGGGAACTTTTACCTTTATATGAAGCTCAGGTTTTTTGACATTATTCTATTGATTTTCAATTTTCCCTACAAGATAGCTGACCTCCATTATCTTTGCACACCTGCAGTATGTTTCAGGTGGGCATGTTTCAGGAAATATTCAGTTTAAACAGCTATAGGGAAATAGTTGAGACCTGGAGAATTCCTGGGTGTACTATACCCAAGGAAGTATGGTGTCCTCAAGAAAGTTTGAGAATTACTGACACTGTTCATAAGGACTACCAGAGATCGTATTTAGAAAGCAGAAGCTGACACTCCCTCCCCCCCTCCTTTTACTCAGTTTTGAACACCTCTCTATCTTTATGAACCTCTACAGATTTGGTTGTTCAGCTTTAATTGAAGTTGGTGCACTCAGCTTGAGCCTGTGCCTCAGTCTGTTCAGTGGTCTGCTTACAGGTCTGTATCAAAATCTCACTGCAGAGATGGAATTCAATTTTTTTTTTATTACTGGTTCTGTGGGCGTGGCTTGGTGGGCATGGTGTGGCTTGGTGGGCATGGCAGGGGAAGGATACTGCAAAATCTCCATCCCCTCCCCACTCCAGGAGAAGGATACTGCAAAATCCCCATTCCCTCCCCAGTCCTGGGGGAAGATATTGCAAAATCTCCATTCCCTCCCCACTCTGGAGCCAGCCAGGGGTGGTATTTGCCAGTTCTCTGAACAGTTCTCAAAATTTCCGCTACCGGTTCTCCAGAACCTGTCAGAACCTGCTGAATAGCACCCCTGCTTTACTGTCAGTAGAACATTAACAACAAGTGTTTTATTGGGTCTGCAATTGTCCTCCAAGATTGTCCAATTTTTAGGGGAAAAATCACTCCTCTAAAACTAGTATTAAAATCTGAATTCAGTGAAGGTAACATAGATCAGATTCTTTCTGATAAAAGGACCTGGATTTCTTGAAAATTCAATTTCCAAGGAAGTTTGTCAGATGTGGTGACGGAGATTAAAACTACTCCCATCCTAAACTGGTTACTGACCAGGGGGTAGGCTCTAAATTTTTTTACTACTGGTTCTGTGGGCGTGGCTTATTTTGTGGATGTGGTTTGATGGTCATGTGACAAACAATTCTTTAGGATTTAGCAGAGGTATTGGTCTACCAGGCTTTTAACTATTTGCAGGGCCGTAGTGGTCTACCCATTTGTTTTTGGAGTGTACTTGTCTACCACCACACTGCCTTTTACCGCTGATCAGCTGTAGGGCGGACCTTTGAAGCGCCGCAGCAAGAGTTTAAACAGTTTTTTGCCGCTCTGCCACCACCGAGAGCATCGGAAACCGCTTTCAGGCAGCTTGGCCTCAATTGCCAGTCTACCACCACCGAGCAGTTTACAAGGAGCGGATCGGTTCTAGCCGATCAGTTGGGAGGCTTCTTGGCTTCTCAATTTAAAGCTACGGTGTCTTGTTTTTTTTTTCTCAAGTGAGCCCTGATTTTTTCCTTCTAGCCGATCAGCTGGGACTCGGAAGGCAGCGAATATATTTGGGGCAGGGCCAGGCAGAGGTGGTATTTACTGGTTCTATGAACTACTGGTTCGCAAGAACTGGGGAGAACCAGTAGAAACCCACCAATGTTACTGTCCAGCTGATGGATTTCTGGAACATTTTCACCATGCCTTACAATGGGGACAAGAAAGCCTGAGATTTAAAAAAGTGGGATGGTTCATAAACCAAGTTTTGCACAACTGCACATTTGTAGAGGGAACCCAGCAAACATATGGTTATTTTGTTTCAAATCCTGCCATATATTTACAGATTCTTATCTGTATTTTGGCAAAAATCATCTCTCTAAAAGGATATTCTAGAGTTTAAAAAATGGCTAGGGGGATGTTGTGGCACTATAGTCCAGTTTTGTTTAAATTCAAGTAAATGACATATAATTATCTATGGTGTATTTTAATTATTTTCCATCCTGTTACACAAGCAAATTTATATTGATGGCAACTTTTGGCAGGATCTGGGAGTCTCCAATGCTTGTGGATTAGAAAACACTTTAGGGGAAAAAAAACTACAGTTCAGATTTGGATAAAGGGGAAACCAGATGAAGCAAGGGACACTTGGGGAGAATTAGATGCAAGCTAAAAGACCCAAAATGCAGTGATTTGGCTGGGTATCATTAACAGGGATAAACTGTAGAAACTTTTTGCAGTTGTTCAGATTTTGAATGCAGGCCTGGTTTCAACTTATTTTTATAGGTCTCATTTTAACTTGCAAATTATGGAAAGCACCTCCTGTAACAAAGTACTTCGACGATCAAGTTTATTGGGAGGTAGGATTATATTTTATACTTTTGCGTCTTGTACAGATTGGGATTCAGAAGGTTAGCGTTACATAAATATCTTATTCCTTTTTGCTTCTTGGCAGCAAGGTTACACTTTGCCGAATGTCTTAGGATATGAGCTATTTTACTCATGCATTGTTCTTCAACTAAAGCCAGGGGGAAAAAAAGAAATAAACTCCCAGAATGTCTAGATCCAATTCCTCCATGGACAGTGGTGTTTGGTTTTGGCTTAGTGTGTGATACAGATTCAGTCAATAAATCATAGTTCAACAAACCATACGGATCATAGTGAATGCTACCATATTAAAAAGTTCAGAATCAAATCTTTCTCATTGATGAATACATAAAAATGTAATATGAATATGCTACAAACACCCTACTTGTTTCTCACTCTTTTGGCTATCTAGAATTAGATCCCACTTGAATGTAATTTGCCTGATTTGGTACTGTTAATGTGTTGTGGAAACCTAGTAATTTTCATTTGTAAGCTACACTTATGGCTAAGTATGTGAATTAGCCACGTAGGGGGATGCAGGAACTTTACTTAAGCAAGCAAGATTTGTACCCGTTTCCCTGAAAATAAGACATCCCCTGATAATAAGCCCAATCGGGCTTTTGAGCGCTGGAAATCAGGTAAGACGGCAAGAGGAGCCCCATCTCGCTCCACGTGCCCCAAAATAATAAGACCTCCCAGAAAATAAGGCCAAGCGCTTATTTCGGGGTTCAAAAAAATATAAGACAGGGTCTTATTTTCAGGGAAACACCGTATAACTCACACTTCTGCAGAACAAACTCTCCACTATATATAAACTCATAGTAATTAGTTGCATTTAAGAGTGCATTACAATATTTAAAAAAAAAATCTTTTTTTTATATCTAGTTCCCCCACTTAGCTGTTGGATTCTGAACACCACCATCAGGAGGGCAGCAAGTTACCCAGCTAAGAGACTTTCTCTCTGATGCCACAAGAATGCATGAAAAAAGAGACTTATTTGCTTTATTAAATTTGCCAGCATATTTGGTAAGCATTTAGTATAAAATACTTGGTTGTAAGGGTAAAATGAATATGCCAAAGTGTTTCTATAAAAAAAAAGTTTCCTTATATTCTAGGGGCTTTTAAACGCTTAAATAATGTAAGTGGAAAGTGAAGATTAAATATTATATGAGAAACTGAGTTCAGTCATACTATTCTGTGTTTATATACAGTATTTTTCAGTTATGGAGTTCATGACTCTAAGCCCATGATGGCGAACCTATGGCATGTGTGACACGCCAGCTCAGCTCTGGCACCCATGTGGGTGCCGGCCAGCTGATTTTTGGGCCTTCTGGGCCCACTAGAAGTAGGGAAACAGGCTGTTTCCTTCCTCCGGAGGGCCTGGGGAAGGCCTGATTTTCTTTCTCACCTGGCTCCAGATCCTCTCTATGCATCTGGGGAGGGCAAAAACAACCTTCCCCACACTCTCGGAGGCCTGAAACAGCCTGTTTCCCAACTTCCGGTTGGACAGGAAGTGACGTTTTTTGCTGTCCCCCGTTTCTAGAGACTCCTAGAGAGGCTCTGGAGCCAGGTGAGAAAAAAAACTGGGCCTACCGGGTCATGGCGTGCCAGGAACAGGGCGGGGGAGGGGAGCACATGCGTGGGGCGGGGCACATAGAATTATGGGTGCGGGCACGTGCGAATCTCCTGGCAAGCTATGGCAAAAAGGTTAGCCATCACTGCTCTAAGCTGTCATATAGTTTGGTTTAGCATCCTGTGTTAAAAGTGCTTTAATTAAAAAAAAATATTAAACCAATGGACAAATCAGACTACTGATTCTTTTCCACAACTGAGAACAGACTTCCTTGCAAAGTCAGAAGATTGCACAGGACATTTCTTATACAACCTTCTGCAAATAGCACCTTCCAGACATGTTGGAAAACTATACTGTGCAGGGAAGACAGGGTGTGTATTTGAGGAAAAAGCTAGTCTTTCCATTATGGATATGCTTTTGCTAAAATTCAAAAACTTCGCAAAAAATTGCAAGAAGAAAGTGGCATTAGAAATACAATAAGAGTATATTTCTATTACATTTTATGCACATAAGTAATAACCTTCATATACAAGCATTCCACATATACTGTCAGTCAAGTATTTCACATTTTAAAAAACCAGCACTTATATCCCGGAAAAAAGGAACGGTAAAAGATACATTAATATTAAGGTATAACAAAAACATTCAGTAAGAGGACAGTAAGAGTTCCTCTTCCATCTCAGCTTAATCACAGGCTACAATATTTAATGTCAAAAAGCCAAGAGTAGAAAAGTCTCAAGTTGAAAGGAACAAAAATGGAAATGTGTATCATGATTTTAAAATGTGGGCATTTTCTTTTTTGCTGATAGCAGAGCACTAATATTACAAAATGACAATTAAAAATAGGAGGTGAGATGCTCCACGTCACTTATTGCCACAAATCCTCAGTGCGACCAAATTTAAACACCAGACCGCTGTTAGAAAGAAAGACAAATTATTAGGTACATGGATGTCAGAACCCTCATATTAAAAAGAACAGAACAGGAAAGATTTCCTTCGATCACAGATTAATATAGTTCCTGTCATTTCAATGGTTACTATATTTTTCAGAGTATAAAACACACTTTTCCCCCCTTAAAAGAGAGTGAAAATTTGGGTGTGTCTTATACACCAAATGTAGCCCCACCCACCCGCTGGCCCCCACCCTTTGGCCTCTGCCTCTCAGCAATTTGCCTCCTTGCAGCCAACAGCCAACAGCCAGTTTCAGTTTCAGCACAGCCTGATTAGCACAAACAGCTGATTGTTGGTTGGATCCTCCCAACCATCAGCTCTTTCAGGCTGCAGGGATTGCCATTGCCTATTGCCGCCTTCATGCGCCACATTTTTGGCCTCCGCTGTTTGCTGTTAGGAAGCAAATTGCTGGGAGGCAGATTTTTTCCCCCTTCTGCTAATCAGGCTGTGCTGAAAATGAAACTGGAACTCAAAAAGGCTGTTTGCTGCAAGGAGGCAAATTGCTGGGAGGCAGAGGCAGATTTTTTTTTTCTTGGTTTCCTCCCCCAAAAAGGTAGGTGCGTCTTATAGTCCGGAGCATCTTATACTCTGAAAAATACAGTACTTTGATTGCTTTGCTTTGCCACTACTAATATACTATTCATACTTTACAGAAATATTTTTCAATCTCAGCACTTAAGATGTGTGAACTTTAACTCCCAGAATTTCCCAACCAGTGTGCTTGGTGGGGAATTCTGGGAGTTGAAGTCCAAGCATCTTAAAAGATGATGAGATGGAGAAACACTGCTTTGCAGGCAAAGAGACTCCATAAAGGAATGTTCTGATTGCTGAAAAGGCAATCCAGTGTGGGAAGGAAATAAGAAAGGCCAGAAAAGAAGCCATGATGGTAAAAATATATTACGTAGATAAACTTTCCCCATTTTATGGCCTAGGTTGACTAGCAAAGATTCCCCCAATCATTTCATCCTCGCCAAAAGGAAATTTGATCCGAAAGCTTGCTTTTCCACCCTCAAGTGTATTGAATCCACATCACAATGCCTGAATAGGCTCTTCAGCCAAAAACACCCTTAGTATATTCAAAATCCTTGTTAGTTAAATGGCTAGTTTCATACTGCCAATTCCTAAAGTGGTTTCTTCACTTTTGGCTTAATACCTTCTGGGAATAAGGCAAAAATTTGAACTAAGCCATAGGTCGTTCACTGAACAAATGAACAACCTATGGCTCAGTATGATGTGTAAGGCAAATAAGTGCAAGTTTCAGAGAGCTTGGTCCTTCTCAGGTAATCAAGCTTAGTTTTGTTGGAACAGAAATGTAAAGAGAAAAAGGCCTCAAAACCAAAACTTTGCTGCTCAAATGGGACACAACCAAAGCTTAGTGTAAGGAAAATGTGGAGCCCGCACTCTTTCTGGCATGCTCAGTCCAACTGTGTTTCTAAATGCTATCTATAGTGTCAATAATTTGCACTGTTTCTTTTTGCTATGATTTACAGGTGTTTCATTATATAAAATATACCTGAAATATGGACATGCAGCAGAGTTATCCTGTTTCCCCCAAAATAAGACATCCCCTGATAATAAGCTCAATTGGGTTTTTGAGTGCATGGCAATAAGGCCAAGCGCTTATTTCAGGATTCAAAAAAATATAAGGGTCTTATTTTCGGGGAAACACGGTAGTAAAATAGCAAGTTTGGTGTGTGTTTGTAAAAAGGTTTATATTGTTGGCATAAATGTCTCACTCATTTCCTCATTTTCAAAATCAAGCATCACCCCCATTTCTTTGGACAAATAAGGATTTCTTAGGCATATAAGGTATCCTTATCTTGAAAATGTCTCTAGATGCCTTTCTCTAGGAAAAGATAAAGAAAAACAGCCTTGTCCTGAATCAGATTGAATATTATTTCAGATGGAGGATATAAGGGGTAACCTAAGCTCCCGTTTTATTAATATATCTTTGAATGAAAATATGTTCTTAGTGTAACTTCAGAAAAACTTTATTTCATCAAGATTCTGCTGCTGGTTCTTGTTTGATATTGTTATTTGATTTGTTTAGTTTTGCTTTTATACTTTTATTGGGTAAAGATTTATATTTACTGCCCTTCTTTGACATTACAATTTTAACTAAAGTAGTTGTTGTGTTTCTCAATAAAAGGCACTCTATACATTTTTATGATTAGTTTTGTTGGCTCAGTAAGCATTTTACTTTAATTAGCATAAAGGAGAACGATAATATAAATATCCCAAATAAATCTTTTTTAAAGCATTCCAATTTTATAAGTTTTATGGTAATGCTCCCACACACCAGTGCTAAAATTTATATCCGTATCATAAACTGGTTCATTTTTACCACTGCCTCCAATCTTTTTTAACAACTACTTACACAGGGCTTCCAAAAATATCCAGGTTGATATATATATAATAGATTACCACACTAGATAATGGATGAGCATAATAATGTATATAATAAATCCAAATAAAGAATGGAAAGCATTCTTACCCAAAGAAAATAAAAGCATTCTGGAAGAAGACTGCTATTCCTGGATAAACTGGTGGTTTGCTTTGTTTGTCTGTGGAAAAAATAATCACTTTACCAGGTTCCTAAAGTTTATTATTAGCATCTTTCCCACACTAGTGTACTTTATTTTCTCAATGCACAATGGCTTCTGATGCTGCCATTTTTATCACAATCTGGCGAACAGTTTTTAGGAATGTATCTAACAGTTTTATTTAGGAATTCATTTACTTGCAAAATTTGATACTGTTTTTCTATCTTGATAATCTTTTTGCTCAAAAACCATCTTGAAAATATATTGAATTGAAAAGAAAAACAACAATGGAGAGGGAATAGACAGAGGAAGTAGAGGGACAGATAGGAAGAAGAGGGGAGAAGAGAGGAAAGGAGAGAGAGGGACAGAAGAAAGGGAAAAGGAGAGGAAGAAAGGGAGGGGAAACAAGAGTAGGAGAGAGGGTTAGAAAAGGAGGAAGAGGGGAGGAGTGGGGGAAAGGAAGGGGAAGGAGAGGAGGACAGAAGAAAGTGGAATAGAATAGAAGAAGGGAGGGAAGGGAAAGAAGAGAGAAGGAGAGGAAGTGGTTGCTGTGAAATAAGAAAGATATGGAATCGTAGAAGAGCTACGAGTATACTTTAAAATTTAGGAGGAAGACTGAACAAATATGAAAATCAAAAGATAATATATATGATTAATAATGGCTAAGAAATTGTACATTTGTGTATGCTTTTGAGAAAAAAAAAACTTTCAAAAAGAAAAGATAATCTTTTTGCTAGCTTTTTAATTGACACAATTAAAATATTGTTCAAGGCATTCTGTTTCAAACTTCAGGAAGTAATTATGCACTGAAAAACAAACCAGCAAATACAAATTGAAATGGTAGAAAGATGGAATATAAATAAACTTCCTCAAAGCAAATCTCATTCTACTAGGGAAGATAACTCTGTAAATATGCCTACAGTCCCAATATACAATAGTTCCTACAAAGATATTAAGGATGAGCTTTCACAACTCAGGATTCTCTGAAGCCATGTTCATATAACATATTAAAGCACAATATGATTTGTGTATAGCCATAAAACTCAGCCCATTGTGACTTATGCTATAAATATATTAGATTTCGTATCTATGTGAACACAGCCTAAACATTTTAAAGAAAAAGGCAATGGTAATATAACTGTATTGAGCCTCCAGGAAAAAACTATCCCTATATAAGAGAAGAGCTTTATAAAAAGGTAAAGGTTCCCCTCGCACATATGTGCTAGTTGTTCCCAACTCTAGGGGGCGGTGCGCATCTCCGTTTCAAAGCCGAAGAGCCAGCGCTGTCCAAAGACGACTCCGTGGTCATGTGGCTAGCATGACTCAATGCCAAAGGCGCACGGAACGCTGTCACCTTCCCATCAAAGGTGGTCCCTATTTTTCTACTTGCATTTTTTAATGTGCTTTCAAACTGCTAGGTTGGCAGAAGCTGGGACAGGTAACGGGAGCTCACCCTGTTATGTGGCGCTAGGGATTCGAACTGCTGAACTGCCGACCTTTCAATTGACAAGCTCAGCATCTTAGCCACTGAGCCACCGCATCCCATCAAGAGTTTTACACTTTATAGCTTTATACATGATTTCTCATTTCCAATGGAATTTTAGAAGAGCTTCACACAGAGAAAAAAGATACAGTCCTTTTCCACAGAAGACTACCATTTCAATAATATTTCTTACCATTGATAACATAGCCTCCAAAGAGAATCCACATTGATGCAATCAGGGATCCAAAGGCCAACATAAAACCGATGAACAGCCAGATGCGAGCACCTTAATGTACACAAAGATAACCTCATTATTTTCAAAATAAATAAGTTCAACATTCAAGACGCAGATTTCCTTGCTTGAATGGTAACACCTGTGGACTGTTAGGAACTTTCTATGCTCAAAACCGTAAAAATATATTCCCCCAATGTACAAACATAGCACATTATGTTTTCAAACACATCCCTTTATGAAAGGAAGCTTTTTTTCACTGCATCTCCTTAAAAGCACATTTTGAGAGATTTTGAAAATTTGGAATACTGGGTTGGGAAGATCTATCTCCAATCCTCTGCATAACCAAAATAGCCATGTAAAGATATAGATAGCCTAAGAGTTAATTATTGCAATTCATTTTAAAAACAATCGTTCTCCCAGAAGCAGAGGGAGCAGAACCACGGTCTAAATCAATTAGCATGGCATATAAATTGCTAATATAGGAGAATCGGGCCTCAACCAAAAATGGCAGATACATCAGTGGTTCGCACCGGTTCTATAGAACCGGTAGTAAAACCAGCAGGAGGCTCCGTCCACCGACCCTGATGTCATCAAAAAGCTTCTGCCCAGGGGTGAAATGTAAAATTTGTTACTACCGGTTCTGTGGGCGTGGCTTGGTGGTGGTGGGGTTAATGTGACTGGATGGGCGTGGCCAACTTTTTTTTTTTTTTTAACTTTTCAAAGCATTTTTTCTAATGCTTTGAAAAGCCTCTGCCGATCAGGCAACTCAGCTGGGATCGTCAGAGAGGCTTTTTAAAAAATATCTCTCTGCCGATCAGGCAACTCAGCTGGGATTGTCAGAGACTTTTCAAAGCATTTTTTTTACCACCTCTTCAGCCAAGAGGTTGCAGAAAAAAATGCTTTGAAAAGCCTCTGACTATCCCAGCTGAGCCGCGCGATCATCAGAGGCTTTTTTTTTTACTTTTAAAAGCATTTTTTTGTCGGAAGAGGTTGTAGAAAAAGTGCGCTTAAAAGTAAAAAAAAAAAAGCCTCTGATGATCATGCGGCTCAGCTGGGCATGGTATGGGGAGGTGCAGGGATTTTTGCTACTGGTTCTCCGAACCACCCGCCGCCATCGCTACCCGATCGGGCGATCCCTGCTTCTGCCCATGTGCAGAAGAGTACGCACGTGAGCGAAGTGAGTGCACTCGCGTGGCCCCACTGTGAACCGCTAGTAAAGGTAAGTAGAACCCACCCCTGAGATACATTATTTTAAAATGTAACTGAATTTTCTCCACAAAATTAGGAATATGATACCCCAGCTTGCTAAATGAACAGAATAAAGGAAAATTATTATTTCTCATCCATGACAAAAAAAAATTAATTTGTAAATAGATGGGAAAGAGGCCGTCAGCATTTTTTAAAAAAAAATTAGCTTTCTTTCCATTGTGATATAAATAAGCGAAAAATATGTTTACCTGTTTGCCCAAGACACCCTTCACTGTAACTGTCCCCACGCACCTGACCGTTGGAGACGGCATTGATCCTACACAAACAACACAGAATGGAGTTTGGCATGAGCATTGAGAATTCAGCAACTGATGACATATTGAAGTGTCTGAAATGTTCATTAATTTTGCATTATATGTTGCCTTTCTTGCAGTAACAACAGAATTATTATCCCTATGTTGCAAAAGGAAGAAGGGCGAAGGCAAAAACTTGCTAGTGCCATCTAGCATTTTCATGACACAAGTCAGCCTTCAGGCACTTCTGAGCCTAATTTTTCACTACCGTGTTTCCCCGAAAATAAGACAGGGTCTTATTTTCTTTTGAACCCCAAAATAAGGGCTTGGCCTTATTATCGGGGGTCTTACTATTTCAGGGGTGCAGGAGGCCCGGGCGGTCTGCGCACTCACAGCCGGGAGAACTCACAGCTGGGAGTCTAGCAGAGAGAGGTTCCCTTCACGCGTTGCCATCAAGTCCCTCCCCTCCCGCGGGGTGTGTGTAGAATGGGAGCGGCCTGAAGGCACCAAGCCGCGTGAGTGCCTGTCCCCAGAACTATTTTTAACATTGGGATGGAAATGTTACCTACATTAGGAATGCAACTGTAGCTATAACTCCACAAGCATGGTATGAATGGTTGAACTCTGCTGAACCTGGATATTTGACAGCTGCATCTATTATAATCCACCACCCTGTAAAAAACTGAACACATTTCCATTATCAGCATCATCAACATAACACTTATCTTTTATCACTACTCTCACAGACATTAAAACAATAATATTCCAGAGGCAAGGAGAAAAGATTACAATAAACACGAATATTTTGTCGGCCCCAAGAAACAAAATTTTTATAGAAGAATATTAAAAGATAAGATGCATTCTAAATTTACTGAATTAGATCAATACATTTCAAGGTGGACCTATTGATTCTTTCATATTATGCATGTAAAATATTCATAATAACAATAAAGATTTTTATATCACCGAGTCGTTTAGTTTAGTTTAGTTTACTTTAGTTTATTGATTAGCTCTTGGTCATATCAAAGTGCAGAGTTCCAGATGTAATGTAAGGCGTGTTAATATACAAATAAGAATTAAACATACACACCAGCACACCAGCTGCGATAGAAGCTATTGTATTTCGTTTTTCTCCCCAGTCAACACACTCGGAGCATCTAACATTTTCAAGGAACCCAGACATATTTCAATCCTCTGAAAAACCTAGGTGAGAAAATGAATGTAATTTTTCTTTCTCTGGTTTTGTTTTAAATGCATGATTTTTTTAAAAAATGTGCTAACTGTATTTACTGCTTTCAAAGTGTTAGAATCCAAGATGCTTATAAAAATGTGACAGATATCTTTAGGCATATATGAAGTACACATACACAGAGATCCAGAGGTGCTAATACACATATTGGAGCTGTGCTCTGTTAGTCTCCAGATGCATTTGATTATAAAATATGCTGTTAACAAGCAAATGTTTACCATCATCAAACTACTTTTTTAAAACAAAAACAGATGATCACACAATTGAAAATATCCCACTTACAACTTCCCTTACTGGACAGATTTTCAGCACACTCAGGATAAAAACACTTCCCCCCCAAAAAGTGTGCAAATACAGTTATTCACATACTCTTCAGATCACTTCTGCTTAATACAGTTGAGGTTTTCTCAAATGAACACAAAGTTTGGCCTTCATATCAACAAAATGGCTACATTTCAACAAACACAAAACTCCTAATAACAACTAGAGCCCCACTTTTCAAACATCCTTTTACAAGGAAACTTCAGCACCCTAGTTGGTGAACATTATTCACAGATCAAAAATAAGTTGCCCCAAATCCATCGCAATCAAGTCTACTGAAATAGTCTGACTGTTCTACTGAAAAATCTATGGAGATTCTCAGCAGGGTGGATTTGATTTAAATCGAGTTGATTTAAATCACAATTTAAATCACTAATAAAAAGCCTTGATTTAAATCAACTCGATTTAAATCATAATTTTTAAAGAGCAACTGTCATCTCTGCTACTCCTTTGACCCACTGTTGACTCACCGATAGTCCCAGTGTTGCAGAATATACAGGCACATGCTACATAACTAAGCTCCATTTCATGCTGAATAAACAATGATTTATGTATCTTAAATAGAAAACTATCTTACAATAGATTTTTACCCCAAAAGTTTTTTATTAAAATAAATTCAATAAAAATCAAAAAAATCCAATTTAAATCAAAAAAATCTGATTTTTTTGATTTTTTTAAAAAAAATCATTGATTTTTATCCACCCTGATTCTCAGTCATCCAGTCATGGTTGTTCCAAAGGTGCTTTTCCAAAAGGGAACTGAAGAAGCTTCTTGCAGTAGTGGCTTTCAATTTAGTTTGCTACCAGTTTGCTCACGCATGCGCAGAAGCGTTCGGGCAGGTGGGCGGAGCCTCCCACTGCCGCTGCTACCAGTTCGCCCAATCCGGGGCGAACCGGTAGCTACCCACCACTGGCTTCTTGGATGAGAAGCGAAACGACTTCAAGGAAAAACGAAGTCTAGTTGCCTTTTGAAAAAGCATCTTTTGAGTTCTACTGAAATAGTTCTTTACATTTCAATACCGGTTTTATTGTGCAGATAAAACACTCCCATTTCCTACCATAAGAGCACCACTCACAGTTGGATTTCTCCCAAAAAAGCATCCTGTTTTAATTCAATTAACCCAGTGTTTCCCAAACTTGGATATTTTAAGATGCATGGACTTCAACTCCCAGAATTCCCCAGCCAGTATGCCTGATTGAGGAATAGTATGCCTGGTTGAGGAATTCTGGGAGTTGAAGTCCATACATCTTCAAAGGGTCAAGTTTGGGAAACACTGATACCCATTAAGCAGACTAAGCACGTGCTTACGGCACCACGCCCAAAAGGGGGCACCACAAAGTTGAGAAAGGGAAAAAAAAAACAAAACCCAATGAAGATTTGTAAAAAAAAAAAAAAAAAAAAGTAAAACTAAAACATCTTGTGCTTAGGGCACCAGTGATCCTTAATCCGCCACTGAATTAACCCCACTGGTCCACACGACATACATCGTTATAAACCTGCCAGCCACATTTTAGTGTCGTTTTTGTATGCCAGGCCAACTCAAAAAAAATAAAATAAAAATCAAATCCCCTCATTAAATCAATCACGATTACATAGACCTGGAAATCCCAGTTACTGAACCTTAAAAATTTCCACACTCTTTGGGATTGCATAACAGGCAAGAAGAGAGGCCTCCAATCTCGGCGACTTTAAGATTTGTGACTTCAACTCCCAGAATTCCTCAGCCAGCTTTGCTGGCTGAGGAATTCTGGGAGTTGAAGTCCACAAGTCTTAAAATTGCCGAGATGGGAGACCCCCTGCACAACGGGATACCCCAAGGTTTTGTAATCTCATCACGTTTAGAGGCGTGTGGACTTCAACTCCCAGAATTCCCCAGTCAGCCATTGGGCCGACGCCGTTTGGATCTATGCCGCAGCCCCAAGCGGATTCATTCAATCCCCCGAGTTAGGCGGATGGTGAAAGCGAAGGAGCGAGGCTCTCCAAACGCTCAGGCCCTGCTTCCGGTGGGGGAGGGGGGGAGAGAGAAAATTGCCAGGGCGACCCGAGGCTTCCCAGCCCCGCGGTACACCCACTCCGGTCAGCTCTAAGCACTGGGCTGCGACCCTCTCGGACACACGAATGGTCCCCCCCCCCACCTCCTCACTTACCGCCCCTCAAGCGCCTTGGGAAAGTAGCCGGCGCGCGGTCAGCTGACTGCGGGCGTCGCCAGCGGTAACCACGCCTTCTCCCTCCCTCAGGTAAACAAAAGCGGGGCCGGCTCAAGGACCCGTATGCTCGAAAGGCCGCAATCCAGCATGTCTCTCGTTTTGCGCAAACGCTAATTTCGGGCTCGGCCTGCTCGTACGTGCGCAGGCGCGTTCTCGGGCTCCCCCGCTGGCACCAGAGCTTTGGAGCCTGCGCATGCGCCCCCAAGCGGCGGCGGCGGGATCGATTTGGCAGCCAGCAGCAGGCTGCGCAGGCGCTCTGCTCAAAACGGAGTCGTTGGGTGGTGTCTTGTGTTTTGAATCCTTTTAAAAATCGAAACAACTATTCAGTAACAGAGTTGGAAGGGACTTTGGAGGTCATCTAGTCCAACCCCCTGCTGTACTAGGGATTCGAACCGCCGATCTTTCTGATCTTGACAAGCTCAGCATCTTAGCCACTGAGCCAGAGAACAAAGTTATCAATACATTCCCATAAATCACAGAGGCTCAATTAGCCAGCTGACCGCCTATGACATCCCTGTTTTAAATCTTTTTATCTAATCATGAGAAAATGCACTTTGGCTTGGAGGTGGGGCCTATGAAAGCCACACCCCACAGGACGAAATAAAGGTAGTCCTCAATTTACGACCACAATTGAGCCCAAAAATTATGTTGCAAAGTGAGAAATTTGTTATGTGAATTTTGCCCAATTTTACGTCTTTTCTTGCCACATTTGTTAAGCGAGTCACTGCAGTTGCTAAATTAGTAACACCATTGTTCAGTGAAACTGGCTTCCCCATTGAATTTGCTCGTCAGAAGGTCACAAAGGGTGATCACATGACCTCAGGACACTGCAACTGTCATAAATGTGAATCAATTGTCAAGCATCTGAATTTAAATCACGTGACCATGATGCTGTAACGGTCATAAGTGTGAAAAATTGTCATAATTTTTCAATGCCGTTGTAACTTTGAATGGTCACTAAGTGAACTGATGTAAGTCGAGGATTACCTGTACAGCACAATACAAGTAGTCCTCGAATTATGACAACTGGACCACAAAATGTATGTTGCTAAGTGAAGTGTTTAAGTGAGCTTGCCCCATTTTGCGACTTTTCTAGCCACGGTTGCTAAGTGAATCATTCCATTTGTTAAATTAGTAACACGGTTGTTAAGTGAATCTGGATTTCCCGTTGATTTTGCTCGTCAGAAGGTTGCAAAAAGGTGATCACATGACCCCAAGAAACGGCAACCGTTGTAACTATGAACCAAGCAACTGAGTTTTGATCATGTGACCATAGGGATGCTGCAACGGTCATAACTGTGAAAACGGTCATAATCGGGTGAAATCCAGCAGGTTCTGACAGGTTCTGGAGAACCATTAGCAGAAATTTTGAGTAGTTCAGAGAACCGGCAAATGCCACCTCTGGCTGGCCCCAGAGTGGGGAGGGAATGGGGATTTTGCAGTATTCTTCCCCTGGAGTGGGGTGGGAATGGAGATTTTGCAGTCTTTTTCCCCTTGCCACGCCCACCAAGCAATACCACACCCACCAAGCCACGCCCACAGAACCAGTGGCTTATGACCAGTGGATTTCACCACTGGTCATAAGTCACTTTTCAGTGGCGTTGTAACTTTGAACGGTCACTAAATGAAGTGTTGTGGAGGAATGCCTGTCCATAGCTGAGGGAGCAGAATCCTGTTTCTATGGTGAAAAATCAAGGCCCTGCCCACACCGTAGTACGCATGCGCAATAACGACATTGACAGTCGGCGGGCGCGCGCTTTACCCGAGCTCTTCGCTAGTCTGTTCTGGAAGCTTCTGATTCCTTCAGTCGGAGCCAGGCGCTCGAAGGAGGCGGTTGTATTGGTGGTGGCTGCTACTAACGGGGAGCCAGTTGAACGTGCCTTTTTTTTTTCTCCTTAGGAGTCTTGAGCAGCAATCGAGTGGGCTTTTTTAAACCTATTTCATCGTTGGCGTGAGGAATTCGGAGTGTTCTTTTCAGGCGTTTCCTCATCTCGGCTTTTTTGCTCTAATGGCAGTGACTAACGTCTCCCCTCACGGACCTCCGCGGAGCCAGTAAGTCCTTTCTCGGCTTTTAAAAAAAACGTACTGAATCTTAAGACCTAAAAAAAAAGAAAGGAAATATCGTTCTGTTTTGGCGTAATATTAACTCTCCACGAAGGCTACGTCCACACAACGTAAACCCTGATTTAACCGCCTCACCCCCCCCTCCCCCGAGATTAACGCTACACCTAAAGGCCTGATGGAAAGGAGGTGTCGGGTTTCCACCTCACTCGAAGAAGCTGCAGGGCGTGGGAATACAGGGGTGACATTAAGATGATCGTGTTGAAATACTGAAGAGAACTATTATTATTAATTAATAATAATAAAGTAATAATTAATATTACTTAGTTATTGTCTATTGTTTATGGCGGTGTGTGTGTGGCGCGGGTGAGGTAAGCTTGCCCTGTTTTGCTAGTCTTGTCCGTAAAAAAAAATCGGCTGAAGCTGCTCGAGGTGTGTAGAAATCTATTAGGTTTTCCCTTCGTTAAAATCTGCCCGCAAAAGTCCACCCTTTTCGCGTTGCCTTTGATCTGTTTTGTAAAAATCCTTCTGTACTCGTCAATGGCCGTAAAATAGAATATACAGAATTCTTTATTGGCCAAGTGTGATTGGACACACAAAAAATTTGTCTTTGTCCGAAAATTCAGTTCGGTTCTGAAATTTTTATTTGGAAATCCTGTATCAAGCCTGTTTTCTTAAAAAATAAATGCAAATTTATAAAGTTTATACAGAAATTGTACCTAATCTCTGCTGCTATTGGGTTTTAATGGGCAAATTACAGATTTTTTTCCCCTTAATTTGTAATCTTAATTTCCTCCTATCTTTCCTTTGTTGTAGTCCTCCCATTATTTGGCTATAAACTTGAAGGACCAATTGTAAGAGTGCAATCTATTAGTTTTTAAACTCGGGTTCTCCTGGTCTTGGTCTTTTTCCCCTAATGCATTTGTTTAAAATCATAACCAAAAGCATTGAGTATATTTACAATAACCAAAGATAGGGTTAGGTAAAGTATTGCTAATCTGTAGGCAAGAAGGAGAGAGAAGAAATTGTTAAATTCTAATGGCCCAGCACTCTGTAGGATGTACCTTAACACAGGAAAATTAAGAATCATCTAGTCAGAAGTTTAATATATGAAATTTTGTGCTGATTGGGATTGCATATCACTGTTGGCTGCTTTGTGGTTCAGTGTTGTGCAAAGGCAGAGTGATTAACATGGCTTGGTACACTGTGTGAATTTTGGTAGCCTTTTAATTCGATGATTTAGTTAAAATGAATATTGCAGGTGGGTGATAGATGAATTTGCTGAACACAACTGATTCCCCCCCATGTACTGTTTATAGTATCTCAAGGTGTGCTTGAATGCTTACACTGTGTGATTTTACAGTGCATTTCATTGCAAACTACAATAAACTAGGTATTATGAAATAAATCTCAGTGTAATGTTACTAGGAAAAATACCGATGTTTTTGCATTAGGAAGAGGCTGATCTAGTTATAAATTTGATTGAGGATCTTAAAACTCTTTTACAGGAGTCCTTACCAAATAAATGGAAATTGCAAGAAGAAAGAGATTTCTGTGGCACTTAATGGTAATTTCAACAATAAATTGGTTTATTTTTTATTTATTTTTTATTTGATTTATATGCCGCCCTTCTCCGAAGACTCAGGGCGGCTTACAATGCGTTAAGCAATAGCCTTCATACTTTTGTATATTTTATACAAAGTCTGCTTATTGCCCCCACAATCTGGGTCCTCATTTTACCTACCTTAGAAAGGATGGAAGGCTGAGTCAACCTTGAGCCTGGTGAGATTTGAACTTGCAGTAATTGCAGGCAGCTGATGTTAATAACAGTGCTTTAGTCTGCTGCAATACCAGAACTCTTATGTTGAATTAAAGCTTTATAGCTAGAAATTTGTAGTTGTCTGAAATTCTGAGATAGAGGAAAAGAACAGGGTACAATCTTTCTAAATATGCAGCAAATTTATTAAAAATGATGAAAGTGAAAATAAGGAAAAAAGCAGATATATAGAAGGAAAGGCTTAGAGTTGTGTTTATAGCAGGATGGACTCCATAGCAATGATATATGTTGCTAAAATGTCTTATGTAACAGCTGCATTTTGACTAAGTGCAGATAGACTTAATCTTTGTGGGCATATTGTTACAAGAATTCTAATCCTGTTTTGTGTTAGTACTAGTGAAACAGGTGTCTGAGTAAATTGTTTAGGCTTGTCTCCTAAATACTTGATTATTCCTAGGATTTAGTGATGTTTATAAAATGGAATATGAAACAAGGCAGTTCAGAAAGACATAAGTAGTAGAAGAAATGTAAGTTTACGGTGTTGAGGTTTTCTAAAACATTTTTTTTTCAATCTAAAGTAATTGGGACTGGACAGCAGACAGCAGAAGGGACATGTTCTAAAATTTCTGAAAAACAGAAAGTGAGCAAGATGACAGATGAGATGACAGGATTCATGGATGACTTGACTCTGAGCTCACCTAAAGGGAAATTTCAATCATGTTCAAGGAGCAGCTGCAGCAGGCGATCCTCAGTATCTTCTAGTGATTCATCTTACAGTTCAAGTATTTCATCTTCCTCCACAAGCTGGAGTAGATTAAGGAGCAGATCAAGATCACATGCTAAAAGGATTTGTTCTCAGAGATCCAGAGGATACTCAAGATCTTATTCCAAGAGTCATTCAAGATCACACAATTACAGATACCAGGAAAAAGCCCATCTTAGATATTACAGAAGATATCCTCTTTCATGTCCAATATATCAATCCCGGAGCAGATCTTCTGTTAGATCATACTATCACAGGTCTTACTCCAGAAGTAAATCAAGAAGCAGAAGGATAGTATGGGTTTGGAAGAACCGCATGTCCTGAAGATTATAGAAGGTGAAGAAACTGCTCCCGAACAAGATCTCACAGTAGAACCCTTCTTTGCTTGACAGAAAAAGGTATTCGGGGGGATGGGGGGGATCTTGGGTTGTCAAAGTATTCCAAAATTATTTGGAAAATTCTTTGTCCAGATATGAAAATGGCAATGTTTGAAGCATCTTACAGTGTATCTTATAAATAATGGCAAATCTTGGAAAAAAGGAATAAATATGTTGGGTGCCTTGTAATTGAGTGAATGATGTTAGATATCTGCTTTCAAATTACAGTGTAATTGTTGAATTATTGGCTGGTTTTGAAAGTCATTGCATTGCATTTACGAAAGAAAGAATAGAGTACTAAATTAAAGCTGATGAGGGAATGTTAGTTCCTTTTAGTAAGTATGGGGGCAGGGGCAAAACTGATCTCTGAGAAATCTGTGTATTTTAAACTCTTTCTTTCTTTCTATAGAAAAGAAAACTACTTGAAATAGCAAAAGCTAACCCAGCTAAAACTTTTGGGAAAGAAATTGTCCTGTCAGACAGTTTAAAAATCGATTCCAAAACCAGTGAAAATGGAAATCCAAAAGACAACTTAGATTTTAAGGTAAATATAAAATATATTTTCAAATAATGAAAGTTTTGTAAGAGTCCCTTAAAAAAATCTTGCATTATTTCATAGTCAGAAAATAAACTTTGAAAACTGAGTTGTGGAATTTGTTAACGAATTCTGGTTACCAAATCTTGAAATCATCCAACTTCTGATGTTTTAAAAAATAATCCTATTAATAAAACAATATATTTTTTAAAAATCCTTCCATTTTTTTCTTGTTAACCAGTCAAACCATATCAAATGGATTTTAAACTTTAAACAGAATATACAGTAGTACCTGTCAAACTGTCATGGAACAATTTGTTTCCAGAAATCCATTATCCAAACGCACTACACATTTTACATGCTTTATTTCTTATAGAAATCATGAATAGGATCTGCAGCTCTGATGAAGAAAATATTGGCAATTGATTGGGTTTTAGTTCTGACTCATGGGAGGGGTTCAAATTAGTCTGAAATGGTTGGAAAACTTTTATATAATATTGAACAAATTAAGTATCAAAACTTTAATAAGCAGTGATGTTAGGTGGTATTAAAATACTATACAGTTCTATTCCAGGTATTAAAAGACAGGAACTGCCTATTTGAAAATATTTTCTGAATTCTTTAATATGAAATAACAAAATTCTTTATGTAATTCTTAATGAAGTGTGACCTTTCCATTCATTTATTTTACAAAGAAATTAAAATTTAGGAGTGGCTCTTAATCTTGAGCTAAATGTACTGAAAATAGCAAAGGTGAACATAAATTGGCATTAATCTTAGTCCTAACATAAGTTCATTTGTCTGAAAGCAAGAAACTGATTAGCGATTTTAGTGTAGGATTGTTTTGCAATCATATATAGATCTGTTCAAAAACCAGCCCAATTAAATTTTGGGAGAGTTATTCCAAAATTATCATGCAAAGAATTCCAACCACTTGTCTCGAAGGTCCCTTCCAACTCCTATTTTGTTGTTTATCCTTAATTCGAAACCATGCAAAGTATATTCCTATAGGAGAAACTTCACTTCATTTCATCATGACTATTACGAATATTAGGAAAAGCAAAGTACTTAATAAGTTCATATGACGTTGATTTTGTGAGTTTGCATTTTGTTCATGTAATTTCTGTGAAATTCAGTACTTTTTGTACATACTTAGAAAGAATTGTAGTTTTAGGATACTGTAGGAATATCCCTAAATACCCTAAAATTCCACCTTTTTATTATGCTGCCTGTAAGAATAAACATATTTGCTTGAACAAATAATGACTGATAAATCCTGACTTATTCTAATTTTCTATTTTTCAGAATATGCCAAGGTCGCTGGCCCTGAAATCAACTAGTCTGCTTTCTAAAAATATGGTAGTATCCCCAACAAGAGAAGAGAAAAAGGGCTCTGCTGGCCAGTGGATTCCTGTTAAGAATGAGGAAAATGTCCTGTTTCATAATTTTTCACCTAAAAGTACAACTTTCAGAGCAAGCTAGTAGTTCTGTTCTGGTTAATAACATCTAAAATTTTAAGGGGTTCGGGGGGGGTTGTTCTGTGACGGGACCTGGGGGGGGTCCTTACAGATCAGGGAGGTAGCCTGTCGGACGGCACCAGTGGGGATGGCGGGGAGGGGGGGCTGGGCATGGTGGGGTGAGGGTCATTCTATCACTGTGGTGGTTGGGGGATACAGTGGAGGGAATAGAGGGCGTAAGGACATCAGAGGGGCGTGTCCCCACTGTTTACAGCGGGTTCAGCGCTCCGGCCTTCATAGTTCTGCCTGCGCCCCTGGGGGGTTAGGATTGTGGAACCTGGGACTCCGGCTGGTGTATGTTTTTTTTTTTTTTTTAAATTTGATTTATATGCCGCCCTTCTCCGGAGACTCAGGGCGGCTTACAATGCGTTAAGCAATAGCCTTCATCCTTTTGTATATTTATACAAAGTCAGCTTATTGCCCCCATAAACTGGGTCCTCAATGTTAATGCCAGGTCCGTTGTTAACAAGGCTCCCCTCGTACGAGATCTGATTGATGGGGGTGCGGACCTGGCCTGTATCACGGAGACCTGGTTGGGTCCAGAGGGAGGGGTTCCTAGGGGTGGTGGTTGTTATTAGGGAAGGACTTAGACCTAGGGAAGTCACTGTCCCTCAGATAGGCAGGTGTGAATCATTTCTGCTGAAGTGGGACCCTGGAATGCAGTCGGCTCTGTTGATTATGTACCTGTCTCCCAGCTGCGTGTCTTCAGTCCTGCCCGCACTGCTCGAAGTCTTAGCCGAACTGACGGTTGAGCTCCCCAACCTGATGGTTGTGGGAGAGTTTAATCTCCCGTCAGCCGGTGAGACATCCGAGTTGGTCCGGGAGTTCATGGCCTCCATGACGGCCATGGACCTGACTCAACTTGTACAGGGCCCAACTCACAGCGGTGGGCACACACTCGACCTGATTTTTATCTCTGGGCAGTGGATAAATGTTCGGGGTAGGGGTGAACTTTCTATTCAGCCCCTGTCATGGACCGACCATTCCCTCCTTAAGCTAGACTTTCCATCGGTCAACCCCCACCGTTGGGAGGCGGAACCGACTCGTTGGTTCGTGACAGAGCTTGGGACATTTCCCACTGAGCTATCCCGCGATTTGCCAAAGGCCTTGGTGGACGCCTGGGAACGGGTTGCCACCAGGGCACTGGATCGAATCGCCCCTTTACGGCCTCTCCTCCGACGGGGATCCCGGGCAGCTCCATGGTTTTCCGTGGAGCTGTGGGAGATGAAGCGTCGGAAGAAACACTTAGAGGGTTGTTGGAGATCTTCCCGTACCGAATCTGATCGAACACAGTTAAGAAACCATATTAGGTCTTGTGGCGATGTAAGCGGCGAAACGTGACTATTTCGCTGCTCTCATTGCATCTGCAGAAAATCGCCCAGCGGCCTTGTTCCGAGTGACCCGCTCTCTCCTCAATCAGGGAGTGAGGGAGGACTCCTTACAAGGAAGTGCTGAGGACTTTGCACAATTTCTGCATGAGAAAGTTGCTCAGATCCATTCGGGTTTAGACTCTGACTGGACAGGATCCGACAACGAGGTGGGAGCAAGTCTTGAAGGTAACATCTGGGTTGACTTTGACCCTGTTTCCATAGATGAAGTGGACAGGATTGTGGATAGATTGGGGGCCTCCACATGTTTGTTGGACCCATGTCCCAACCTGAAGACATGGCTTTTTCAGCAAATTCCCTGATCTGCCGCGAGGTTTTAATTGTCGGGGGTTTTAAATTGGCTTGTTTTAGCATTTTTATTATGTTGTTTTTATTCTGTGGCCGCCCCAAGTCCTACGGGTGAAGGGCGGCATAGAAATATGATAAAATAAATAATACTTAATACACTGTTGATTGTCTTTTACTTAATTGAACTGTATGACATTACAATGGTACTAAGAAAAAATCGCATTCAAAATTAGTGAAGGATGAATTTATACAAACTGCATATTTTCTGCAGTTTTTATAAAAATCTGTACTAATAAAGAATTTCAAATAAACTTGTGTTTTTATTCAAAGGAACAAGACGTGAAAATAGCTATTTCAGCAAATCACATATTTGATTAGATTCTGTTGTCTGAAATATAAAAGACCCAAGTAGTATATGACTACAGGGATGGATTACCTATAAAGTTTTGGTGAGCCTCCTGGAATGTTTGCCACCCATGGAACAGACAGATTTGAAATTATTCTGCTTTTGTGTTAAGGGGTAAAATGGGTACGTTAGAACAGAAGTATAATGTATTAGAAGTACCACTTGAAACTTCCAAATTAGTCTACATGTTTTCAGGTAGTTTAAAGGGGCAAAATGAATGATAACAGATTTTTGAGTCGGGGGTACCTGTTTTTCCTTGCAAGTCAAGATTACTTTATTGTCATTGCACCTTGTACAATGAAATTAAAGGAGCACCCAGCTGCAGCACCCATGTGCACAGCCATCTTGAATGGCAGTTTTCAAGTACCCAAATAAGGCATATCTACAAATTTAGTTTCATCTGCTTAAGTGATATTGCCAGTTGCAAGATGGTACTGGAAGAAAGTACGCGGAAATGTTTCTTCTCTTTGCAAGATTAAAATGAAAATTAATAGCTTTGTCCTGTATACAGTTGCCCTTCATAAGTAAATAAAGGATCCAAGCTATTAATACATTGAAGAGAAACTTGCAACCTTTGTAGTAAAGAAATGCAGTACTAAATTAAAAATGCTCGAGGGGTATAAATCAGAGAACTCAGTTATTTTATTAGAGATGTTATATTTAACTATATTCTTGAATGCTGAGAAAGATCGGAAACTTACTGCAAAGAGGTTAAATTGTTAAAGGCTTTTACAACTCTGTTGCACATAAGTTGATCAGAAACCTATATGGTCACAGGTAACTAATACTTTCTAAATTAATTGTGATATTTTATAGATATGAAGGTAGATACAAAAAAGATTAATAAAACAGCTATCTTTAATCATGCTGAGCACATCTTTTCATAATTAATCTTGGAAAATTAACATATCCATAAGGCAATTTTGTGATCAAGCTCATCCTTTGTTTGGAAGCTTTCTTCATTAAAGTAGAAGTCTTCAAGATACTGAATTCATCCGCCTTCAGGATCCTGTAAAGATCTTCCCAAACTCTTATCCAAGCCTGAACTATTTTCTCTTGTCCCAGAGCAGGAGGAGGTCTTGTTTTGCAGAAGATGTAAGATGTTATTGACAGAATGCAAACAGTAAGCCAAGATGGACGAAAGAGGCTTCAAAATCTAGTTCCAAGCTCTGTAAAGGCAAGCCAGCACCACCACTTCCAACACTAAAACTGCATCAACCAAGTATTCTATACCACCTTCTGTTTTGGAATCAACTCCAAAGGCAGTAAAGTCATATATGTTACCACAAATAAGCGCTAGTTGGGTATACAGCCCTTGAAATGAGAGGAAATTGAGTCATTCCTCCCACTCGAGTTTACTTACTAGCATCCACACTGTCTAGCAAATTGAACCACCCCCCAGCCTTTTCAGCAATGTACCAATTATTAGAGGCAGCAGCAATTTCAGGCAGGTTATCTTCAATTGCCAGGACTAGAAGCTACAGCTGGTGGGATTCCTGCCTAGTTTGGGAGCTCAGCTGGCAACAAGCAGAAAAGGAGCAAGCACACTGAGGCAGCACCTCATTCCAACAACCACAAGAACTTTTGGAGGGAGGAAAAGCTGCTATGCAATTTTACAGACTAGAGTTTTGTTTAAAAACTGCAAGGCCTAAAAGGAGCAAGGTAACCCTGAACAGCAGCCAATTGTTGGGGAAAGTGTGCCACTAACCCAGACACAATTAACCGTTTGGTCACATCCAACACCTGAAGTAACAATAAAACTGGCTCAATTATTGCATCTTTTGCTGAAACGCTTAAATTTGTTATAAAGGTATTTTCGGGTTACAATGGTAAGTTGACTGGAATTGCCAATACTAAATGACATAGTCATAAAGCATCACATGAATGCATCACTTAGTGACAGCAGTCCCCATTGCTGCTGTAACCTGAGGACTGCAAGCTATTAAGTGGGAAGAGTTGAGTACTAAGTAAGGATCATGAGGGGATGGAAAAGTGCTGCAGGTGGTGCTGGGAAGTGTGGGGGAGTGGGGCACTGGAGATCCCTGAACAAGCATTCGTATGTTGAGGGCTACCTGTATAAACAATATTACACGGATTTCTATAAATAATATTTAGGGAGCTTTCTAACCCAGCCTTTTTTTGTGTACAAAAGCCAAGACTACTTGGATATGTTTCACACATCCGTCCGAATTATGTTTCATTACTTTTTGGGGCTTCCCACTAATTGCATTATAAACCAGATGCTCATTAGGCAGGCAAAACATACCAAGAGTGTTTTAAAAACAGCTTTATATGCCATGGCTCTTTGTTTAATCAAACTACCAAAATCAACGTATCAACTTACACAATTGTGATGGTTTTCAAATAAACTACATGTGCATTTAAAAACGGTTTGTGATTCAACATTCACATTAAAAAACAAAAACAAAAAATGAAATCACAATTGGCTCACCAACCATAACTTCAAATACTTTGGTTTTCTACAATTACATAATTGTTAAAACTTCTCTAACATACCTTTCTTAGAGAGGAGGAGTACTATATGTGGACAAATTTCATTCTAGCATTAGAACATGTTTGCAAAGCGTATTTTACACATGAAGGTTTTAAAGAAGCCAAACTGAGAAAGCAGGGCTAGCCTCCTGAACTTTTTGGTCTACACAGCTGTCCCTCTTTCCAAATTCTGTTTGATTTCTGCAGTGTATTTGCCGTAGAACCTCTCAGCCTTTTTATTGAACTTGGCATTCCGCTCATTAATGTAGTCGATATCTGCATCGTCATTGTAAGAACGTCTCCGGCTGTATTTTTCACGTTTTTGAATTCTGAAAGAGAAACCAAAATACTCAGCCTATGTTTGTATATACTGTGTTTCCCCGAAAATAAGACCCTGTCTTATATTTTTCTGAACCCTGAAATAAGCGCTTGGCCTTATTGCCATGCACTCAAAAGCCCGATTGGGCTTATTACCAGGGGATGTCTTATTTTGGGGGAAACAGGGCAGTTACATCTTGAATTCATATTTTAATGAGGTACTGGATGTTCTTCATTTGATACAGTAATAATTTTTTCCCCCTTGTATATTCAGCTAATGGGGTCAACGGGAATAAAAAACTCCATTAATCCATTCCAAAGCAAATTAATCTCTGGTTTCTGTGGTTAATATGAGTATTTAAGAATCATTTAAAAGGGGCAAAGCCTTGCCTGATAATTGTATTATTTGAAAAATGAAAAGGAAAGAAAACGAGATGGACTCTATAAGTACAGAGTGCTTAAATAATGCAATCTAAAATAAAACATCAGCAGGAGGTCTATGATAAGTACATATACAAGATGCTTAATAAATTTAAATGTGCTGTTCATTATGAATATGGCACTTACTGTTTTTCAAGATCTGAAACCATTTTGTCAACGCCTTCTTTGGAGGGCACATGAGTTCCATGGAGTAAACTATTTGAAGTTGGAAAAAAATCTTCACCACTGAAGGAGAAAAAGGAGAAAATAAACGTTAACAGTAACATTTTTGGGGAATTTCTCTAGCTCAGGAATTTGGGACAAAAAATATCTATCTCACCCGTTATGGTAGCGCTGATTAAGAGTCTGTACTCTAATTCCACATCTGTAATCTTTTCCACTTTTCTCATTCTCTTTAACTAAAATTGAACCAGGTAGATGGAACATTACCCCTCTACTTTAATACCAGCTGTGCAAAATTATTTAGAGGTAGTCCTTGACTTAGGACTGGTCATTTAGTGACTGTTCAAAATTATAATGTAGACCGAAAAAGCTACTGTATTTTTCGGAGTGTAAGACGCACCTTTTTCCCCCAAAAAAGAGGGTGAAAATCTGGGTGCGTCTTATACTCCGAATGTAGCTCCACCCAGCTTCTCAAACGGAGGTTTCAGAGGCTGAAAAAAGCATCAGAAACGAAGCTTCAGAAAAAGAGCCTCCAAACAGAGCTTCAGGAAAAAAAGCCTCAGAAACAGAGCTTCAGAGGCTTTTTTTTTGCTGAAGCTCTATTTCGGAAGCTTTCAGAAGCAGAAAAAAGTTTTTTTTTTCCAGAAAGCAGAAAAAAAAAGCAGAAAAAAAAGCAAGGCACAGAGCTCACAACCAATGAACCTGTTGCTAAAATTCACCTCTAGAAACAGCTGATTGGTGGGATTCCGGGAGGCTGATCCACCCGCCAATCGGCTTTTTTCTTATTTTCCTCCCCAAAATCTAAGGTGTGTCTTATATTCCAAAAAATATGGTACTTACACCCAGATTCATCAACCTCGCATATACACCCACACGTCACATTTTGGGCAACCAGCTGCATTTATGGACGTTTGCAGTGTCCTGTGGTCATGGGACCATGATTTATATTTTTGCCAGAAACCACTATTTCTAATTTGCAGCAAAAAAAACACCTTATAGCAAACAATGGTTTTGCTTAACGACTGCGGCATTTGCAATGCAATGTGCACAATCACATGGTAGCCTGGTTTATGACTTATGATCAAAATTGCAGGCTCAATTACCATCCTAAGTCATGGACTACTTGTATTCTAATTTAGGGGGTCTCTAACCATGGCAACTTGGCTGGCTGAGGGACTCTGGTAGTTGAAGTCCACAAGTCTTAAAGTTGCCAAGGTTGGGAGACCCCTGTTCTAATTCATATGCCTTTGGGAATGATCTCATTTGTAAATATTCATTCTAGATCCTTCTACCACATAATAATAAATTATTACTATTAATCTTGTCATCGTTTCTATCACCCATCTTCTCCCACTTATAACTGTATGACTGTAACCTTGTTGCTGGTATCCTTAAGATTTATATTGACTGTTTCCCTATGACTATTATTAAGTGTTGTACCTTATGATTCTTGACAAACGTATCTTTTCTTTTATGTACACTGAGAGCATATGCACAAAGACAAATTCCTTGTGTTGCCAATCACACTTGGCCAATATTCTATTGTATTCTATTCCAGAAAAAAAACTGTGAAATAAAATTACTTGCCTTTCTTCTCTTAATTTTCCATACTTTTCCAGGTCAGGTTTAATTTGCTTGGTCAACCGCCGATACTGGCGTAATTGAGCAGCTGCATAGTCTACAGAGCAAAGAAATTAGCTTAGTGAACAATAAACCTTTACTAAATAGGGCAACCTATCTCAGCAATATTGTGATTCCCTCCGCAATGATAAATACATTTGTGTAACCCCTTTCTCAGGAGCAAGATGAAGAATATTTAAAAGAATAAATTATGGCAAATGGACCGAAGTTTATTAAACAGAAATGTTTTGTTACTCATCCAAGTAAGTTCTTCAATCAAAATGAATTTTCTTTTGGTTAGGTTAGGCATAGAGTCAGAGAGTCCTTGGAATGTACTAACTCTGCCAGACTGACTGCAGCAGGATTTCCCCCCAAAATGAAATGCAATAATGTAAATAATGTTCTTCATTTACATATTGAATTTCATTTTGGGAAGAAACTCCTTGCAGTCAGTATGGCAGAGTTAGTACATTCCAACAACTTTCTGCCTAACCAAATTTTTTTCATTTTGATTGAAGTTACTTGGACGATTAACGAAACGTCTCAGTTTAATAAACTTTGGTCCAGTTGCCATGATTTAACCTCTTTAGATATTTTTGACCTAGATGATTTGAGTCTTTGTTTACATAAAGAAGAATAGATCATAAATAAAGCTGCTTTGATTGACAAGTATCTCTGACTTTTGCTCTCAATTTGAACTTACCATGACAAACAGGAGTTTTGACAATGTTCTCACTTTGGCTGGGTAACCACGATCAATTCTGAAAATATTTCATGATCCCCTTCCAATTTTCTTATGACCCACTGGGCCAAGTACTACAGAAGAACCCCTGATATGAGCCACTGCGCCTAACTTTCTTTTTATTCAACATGTATTTGAGAAGAGTAAGTATCATTTCCCCCTACCTGAAAACCCAAGATCAGGATTTCTCTTCTTCCTTTTCCTCTCAAAGCGTTCTGCATCTTCCGCACTTACTTCTAGCAGCTTTACTCTCTCATAATCTTCCCCTTTCAGCAGGCATTCCTAGAATACAGTAAATTAATTTTAATAATTTAAAACACAGATCCTCAAAAAACGTTCCTCTGTGAGCTAAAATTTATATTTCCTCATAAAATTAGTCTTCAGCTGAATTATACGTGATCTGCTGTTGATTTCTCTTTCTCTATTCATAATAATTCCAACCTCTTTTGACAAGTGTTCTAGAACAGGGGTCTGCAACCTTGGCAACTTTATGACTTGTGGAGTTCAACTCGCGCTGGTTGAGGAATTCTGGGAGCCGAAGTCCACAAGTTGTAAAGTTGCCAAGGTTGGAGACCCCTGTTCTAGAACATCCTGACAAAAGGAATGAATGATGAAATCCCTTGTTTAAATCATGCCTAATCCAAATACTGGGTGGGCTGATGCAAGCATATGGCACGAAAGAATAAGAGTTTCCTTGAAATCACAAATGCATCCTAATGTTATATTGGAAATTCTAAAAAAAAATATGTGAATTATAGCTTTACTTGTTTGGTGAAGGGTTATGAAATCTCATTTTTGGAATAATAACCGAATTTTGGTCTTTCAGAAGCTACATTGGGCCCTTTCATTTAAAACAAAAATATCTATCTTTTACAGAATTATTTTGAGAGTTATTAATGTACATCACGTTTTGCACGCTAATGCAAAAGGGCTCTATTTGGAATGCCAGTATTTTCCAGTAATAGTGCAAGTATTGTATCTATCATTGCTCATTTCTAATATAACCCAGTGAAAAAACAGTAACCGTAAGGATTTTTTTTCTTAGTTTTCTAATTGTCTTAAAGGTACATGTATTATTTGCTTGTTTACCTTTTTCTTTTCTTCCACTTTGAGTTCCCATTCTAAGCGAGCCTTTTTTGCTTCCCAGTTGGTTGGTAACTTCAGCCTTTTATCTTCTTCCACAACTTCCTGATGATTTAGTTTACGGGCTTCATTCTTTTAAAAATAAACAAGAGATAACAACATCTCCCATTTACCAGCGATTGATAAATTAGAAAATAGAAACAAATCAGCAGCAAAAAATTAAGAAAGCTACAAACTTCACCAATAATAAGAAATACTCTGCCAGTGAATGCTAAATTCTCATGGCAATGCAAATAAAAATTGAAAAGCAGATCCTGCAGCTGAGGCTAATTAATCTGCTTATTGGTGGGCCGTTACTGCATAATAGTAATTGTTCTGATTCTGTCATTTATTTTAACCTAATACAACAAGCAATACCCAAGTGAAGAACATGGTGATTTACGGACAACCCTTAAGGCTGGCTACTACTGAAGATGGTGAGTGATGTTCTCCTTCTTGAGCTGATGAATTGCTAAAGTTGTGTGTTTTTTATATACAGCCTGTTTTCAGTGGTTTCTGAAAGTGGAGTTTCAGTGATTCATTGGCTCCAGGAAGGATAACGCTATCTGCCATTTTTTAGTAGTAGGCAGTTGGTTTGTAAGTACATGTTCTGACTTAGGAATTTGAGTTAAAGATGAATTTAGGAGCTCTTTCTTCACCCAGGCACTACCTGTAACATTACTCCTCAGCCTTGGTAATATAAAAACGTTCATTTATGGCTAGTGATTCCCAGGATCTCAGATTGCCTCTAATTATGGAGTTGTTCTCAAGATATTGACAATGTACTTCTAAGAATATGAGGTCAGCTCTTGTTTCCTATTATTTTCACTTTCAGCAATCCTGAAAAGATGCAGGCATGTAGTATCTCAGATGATCAGTTTCCATGGTTGAGTCCTACTCCCAGTACTAAGACTGTACTACACACACACACATTTATCCCATTTATATGGTTGTCTACCTCAACAACTGAATCTGAGCAGCAAACAGAATTAAAATAAAAACTCTTACAAATTTTATATCCTGAAATACCAACTTTTTTTCTTCTCACCCTGTTCAAGCTATTTTCTATCTTGCATGCTAAATTGTTGCCCCATAATTCTTGTACACTGTGCTATGTAATTTAATTAGGTCTCACAAGGGTATGGCCCAGCAGATTTACTGTTTTGGGATTTGAATCCAAAAGTCACAAAGTAACCTTACCCTTTTCAAATGAAGCTCTCGGAATTTTCTAAGCCGTTCTTCTCTCTTTTGGGCAGCAGCTTCTTCAGCTGTCATCGGACTGTCTGAAGTGTTGGAAACCATCTGGAGTATCCCCCACATGTATTTAAAAAAAATAATAATCCGGGGTTGAGATAAACAGTTATATAATATACTATGTATAAAAAGCAGTTTCACAATCAGAATTGCATACTAAATAATAAAGCACTAGTTAAACATATGTTATACTTGCTCTCTTTTGTTACCATACTGATTTTAGCCACATTTCCTTTTAACTGACAGAGCCTACTTGTTATGGATCAGTTCTATTGCTTCTTTCATTTTAGTCCATGGTTGGCATACAGGCCTGACACTTTTGGGATCTGACTTGGTGGATATATGGGATCAATTTTTATTATTTTCACTGCTGTAATTGTCTTATTTGTACTGGTTTAAAACCATTACCAAGATGTGTCTAATTTTGTCACTCAGGATCTGATATTTAATTCTGTATTTTCTAAAGAGATCAAAAAGTTCAAGACACAGGCTTTTAAGTATAATTATTGTCTTGAGCTTTAACAATACAGTAGCAGGAGAAAATAAAACCTTTCATAGTAAACTCTCTCTACCCATTACAATTAAAATACAGAAAGGGATCAAGGATGATGGAGTAGTTTATCAAAACCCAAGAAAAACCAATTATCCTTGTAAATCACTCAACAATACAATGTTAATAATTATATGTGTAGTATATCTATATGAACAATAATATAAGAAGGGAAAAGAAGAAGCGGACAACCAAGATGCATAGATTCAATTACAGTGATGATGACGTGAACCATTGGGAGTCTTAAAAGGACAGATTACAGACAAATCATGGGAAAAAAAATCTATGCTGTTGCTAGGAGTCAAAAACAACTTGGATGGCTCCCAAATCAACAAATCAATGGGCAGAATATCTCAACATGCAAAAGGAGAAGGGATGAGGCTACACGTAAAAAAGCTTTTCTCAACCGATTCCTAAATACAGGGGAAACGGAACGAAACTGATAATTTGCAGGATATTCTAAACTTAACACTTCCAGGATCTACCTATACACACCTGACAGTATTAACAAAGCAAACAAGAATGAGATTCTCTCTCTCTTATCCTCTTCCCCGCCATTAATTCTTCCCATCATCTGCTTTGACAGGGTCTCTTTTCCACAAAGCTCATGTATTCTTCTAGGCCAGGGGTCTTCAACCTTGGCCACTTTTAAGCCTGGAGGACTTCAACTCCCAGAATTCCCCAGCCAGCAAAGCTGGCTGGGGAATTCTGGGAGTTGAAGTCCTCCAGGCTTAAAAGTGGCCAAGGTTGGAGGCCCCTGTTCTAGGCATTGCTGAATTGCAGCTCACAGCAAGGCCGCACAGGCAGGCCGCTGGCGATGTTGGGAGTTGTAGTCCACCCCACGTTCCCCATCCCTGCCACCGATTCAGAGCAGCCACTCCGGCCAAACCAAACCTCTTTTACTTCCCAGGATACAAGCAACCTTTCCCAACGCGGCGCCTCGAGGGCGGGGGTGGTGCTGGACTGAAGCTTTCGGTTACAATCCGGTGGCCAGGATTGCCCTACAACGAGCCCTTATCTCTCACCGTCTCACCATCCGCAGAGACTCCCGTATCCACAGCAGCCGCCATTTTGTCGTCGTCTCGGTAAACATCGAGCCCTTCCGGCTTCCGCTTCGTGATGTCATTGAGGACGCGAATGAAAACAGACCTCCTTCGAGGGAGAGACATTCCAGCAGGAGGACTCTATGTTTGGTAGAAACCATCGAGATGCGTGCGCGAGCGGCTGCCATGGCGTCGGGGCGGGCGGTGTTAGGGTGGGAATTGAGCTGCAGCGCTTAAGAGGCCAGGCGAGGAATTGCAACCCACCAAAGAGAATAAAAAAGGGAAGGAGGCCCCGTCAGAAAACTAGCAAGGTTGAAGGCAACGTTGATCTCTTGGGAGCGAGTTCTGTTATTCCGTTCTGCAGAAACTTTCGAGGTTTCCGCTGCGCGTTAAAAGAGAGCCAAAGCTAGAACTTGCAAAAGAAAGAGGAACCTCGCTTCCTTCATTTGTTCATTTCTTTAATGCGCTGTTTCATCGTCAAAATGAACATCAAAAAACGTCACCAAAAAAAAGCACAACAAAGAATGTTCTTTCTAAAGATATACTTGATTATTCATGTAATAATAGCAGCGAGGATTGTATTTGCGCGAAATTGGAAAGCAGGGAAAATACTTCTGGAAGAGGAAGTAATTTAAGAAAATTTTAGACTCTGCAGAAATGAATAGATTAACTTTGAAAATTAAAGAAAGAGAGGATTCAGAATATTTTAAGATATGGGGGTCAATGTTACCATTGGCTAGAAAAGAGATATAGATAAATTAATAGTTATGCAAGAGAATGGTATAATTAAAATATTGTATTTTTGAAGAGTGGTTGTAATAGATGAAGAGAAAATGAAGAAAGAAGAAATAACAAGAAGATAATAACAAGATAACAAGAAATAACAAGAATAACAAGGTGCCTGAGTGGCGTAGGAGGCTAATGCCTCCTACTAAGGCAGCATTTAACATCCAGCTGCCTGCAATTACTGTGAGTTCAATTCTCACCAGGCTCAAGGTTGACTCAGCCTTCCATCCTTTCTAAGGTGGGTAAAATGAGGACCCGGTTTGTGGGGGCAATAAGCTGACTTTGTATAAAAAATATACAAAAGTATGAAGGCTATTGCTTAACGCATTGTAAGCTGCCCTGAGTCTCCGGAGAAGGGCGGCATATATATATATATATATAAAATAAAAAGACGAAGCCATTGAAGAAACATTGAGATGACACAAGAAAGGATGGACTGATGTATTAAGTGTTTGTTTGTGTATAAAAGAAAAACTTTTTAAAAAATGTTCTTTCTGCGCCAACTCAGGAAGCTCAAACTGCCCAAGGAGCTGCTGATATGGTTCTACAGAGGAATTATTGAGTCTGTCATCTGCAGCTCTATAACTGTCTGGTTTGGCTCTGCAACCCAACAAGAAGACACAGACTTCAGAGGATCATTAGAACTGCAGAAAAAACAATGGCTACCAACCTGCCTTCCATGGAGGACCTGTTTACTGCAGGAGTCAAACAGAGGGCTGTGAAAATATTTACAGACCCCTCTCATCTTGGACATAAATTGTTTCAACTCCTACCCTCAAAACGACGCTATAGAGCACTGCACACCAGAACAACTAGACACAAGGACAGTTTTTTCCCAAATGCCATCACTCTGCTTGTTAAGTTGGGTGAGTGAGGAGACAGGAGCCAAGTCTTTGTGAACAACAGCTCTTTAATACACAGTGAGAATCCAGCAAAAGTACAGTAGGACAGCTCTCCTTATATAGTCTCTTGGCCAGGATGCTGGCCAATAATCATCGAGCTTTTTCCCGCTTAATTTTCCCTCCAAAATTAGATACATAACACCCTTCCCCTCCCAGAAGACACTTAGACAACTATTTATCTATATAATCATGCAGGTGACTAGGACATTCCCTGATCCTAGTTGACCTGCGCAATTCAGTCTGAGGCAGGGAGCTGGGTTGGTCGGAGGGACTCTTCGTTTCTCCCAGCCCAGCCAATGGAACCTCCTGGATTTTCTTGTGGGCATTGCACCCTTCAGCTGGGACTGTTGTGGCCCGCCAGCGGCCTGCGCGGATCGTGGCTAATCCCGACAACGAGGAGGCTGGTGTGGTGTCGCGCCAGCAGCCTGTGCAGCCGGTGCTTGCGTCGGACAGCGAGGAGGCTGAAGAGGATGTGGTGCCAGAGGCAGAGACTCAGCCAGGGCCTTCAGAACTTCCAGAGGCTCCTTCAAGTGGAGAGAGCGAAGTGGAGGAGCCTCTCCTCAATGCTCGAGCACGCAGGGCTGCCAAAAGGCAGGAATGGCTACTCAGGAGGAGGAGGTCTCCTCGAGAATAAGGCTTGAGGATAATTGGCCACTCCCTTAGCCTATTTAAGTCACATGCCATTAGTAAGTTTCTTGCTAGAAACAACTTGTAATTATCATCAGCATTTTTGGAAAAGTCTTATCTTGTTTTCTGGGCTGGTTGCCAACCTTTGCCAGACTTTGGTTTATTCTTGCTACTTAATAAATTTGATAAGGACCGTTGGTGTGTGTCAATATCCTCGGGAATCTGGAGCTGGGGCAGAACAGGGACTGGCTTCTCGAGAGGGCGGCGCTGGACACCGAAGTTATCAGGTAAGTCCTCCGGCCACTTCGGGTTTGAGTCAGCTATTGGAGAAATGTTTGGTGAGTCAGGGACTGGTATTTTTGGTTGGTACTCTGGCTCGGTGGGCATTGTTTGGCCCAATCGTTTCCTTAATTGGTCTATGTGTCTGCACCAGACCCTTCCGTCACCCATATCTACTGCATATGACCTGAGACAAGTGATTTCAGAGATTTGCCCTGCAACCCAGAGGGGACTGTCTGTGTAGTTCCTTGCGAACACCGGTGTCCTAATGGAGAAACCTCTAGCCCTTTTCTCGGCTTCCCTATACCCGTCAGGGGAATAATTTGGATGTAGTCGATCCAGAGCACAGCGGAGTCTCTGACCCATTAAGAGTTCAGCCGGACTTCTCCCTGTGGCCATGCACGGGGTGACAAGTTGGGCAGCCAGGAAGGTATCGATCCTGGCCTGCCAGTCTCCTGGCCGGAGTCTGGCTAATGCCTCTTTGGCGGCTCTTACAAATCTTTCAGCCTGCCCATTACTAGCTGGATGAAAAAGTGTTGTGAGTGCGTGTCAGACCCCAGTTTCCACCAGGTATCCCTTGAACTGTGTAGCTGTGAGTTGAGGCCCATTGTTGGATACCAGTGTGTTCGGTAGCCCATGTGTGCTGAACAGCTTTCAGAGTGGAAGAAGTAGGAGATGGCACCTTTAGACCATTCGGTAGTCTACGACTCAAGACGGCCCCTACGCCAAAAGGGGACGCATTACAGACCAGCACAAGGGAAAGCAACTCATTATGCTTCCGCCTTCCCCCAAACCCACTGGGATTTCTTCTAGTAATCTGTGGAACTTTTTCCCCGCTTAATTTTCCCTCCCAAATTAGATACATAACACTGCTAAACAACGAGTTGCACTTATTAAAATACCTCCTTATTTTCCAAGGCAGGATTTTATATTCAATCCTGTCAAATACAAGCGTGTTCAATGTTCTAGTACCGGTAATGAAAATCAAAATAACGCACTTTCAGTCCTGCAGAATGAATTTCTTGTATTCAGACTTGACAAAAACTTAGCATATTTTATTCAAATTTTAATATTTATAGGAATCCATCCTGTCTTTGCACCAAGCTATATTGGTCATACGATGGCAGTATAGTTCTAAATATTCATCTGGAGAACTAATGGAAGGAAACACCATCATGACTCACTCTGAAAATACACAAAGAAATTGTATTTTTCTTTTCCTCCACTTCACCTTTACAAATCCATGCTAACACGTCTTGGAGTAAAATGCTTGGGCAACTGTGTACTTTCATTAGAAGCTAGGCTGAGGGAAATGCTGAACTAAATAACTTCATTTCTTAAATGCAGAGGTTGCAATGAGCTGGGGGGATAATTATCTTTCACACACACCCCTTACAGATTATTTGGGTACGAATAATCCTCAATTTATGATTACAATTGGGATTGGAATTTTCATTGCTACGTAAGGTAGTTGCTAAGTGAATAGCAATTGATTTTATGCTGATTTTTGCACCAGTTGTTTGCAGTTGTTAAGTGAATCACACGATTGTTAAGCAAGCCCAGCTTCCCCCATTGACTTTGCTTGGCAGGAAGCCAGCAAGCAGCATCACAAATGGCAATCACCTGGCCCCAGGACACTATAATCATTGCAAATACATGCCAGTTGCCAAGCACTCAAATTTTTATCACACGTGGGGATACTACACTGTAACTTTGAACAATCACTAAAGCTTACATTAAGAAAAATACATTAAGATAAAAACTCTACATTCATGTAGAAATATGGATGTTTATAAAATTTCCCTTTCAATTTTCAATTCTGTCATTTCTTCTGGATATAAATAATCTTAAGAAATTACTTTGAAATCACATTACCAAATACTGTAATTAAAAATGAAATTGTTAGCTGATAGTGGGGTGTTCCCCACCTAAGTTGTTGTTTAGGCCAATTCTGCCTTCAGATTATCTTTACTCTGAAAATATTTATTTAAAAAGAGTTTGAAACAGTTTCTTCACTGCTTTGAAGCTATTAAGAAATAAGTTGCTAAACCTGCTACATTAACATTCACACATTAGCTATTTTCATTCTTGAGGATGTAAAAATGATCTGGAAATTGCATTTCCAACCAGGCGGGCAATTTCTTTCTAATTTGCAGGTTTTTTCATTAAGGAGAAATTGACTCCCAAGTTAAATTTCCTTGTATGAAGGAATAAAATATTGTTGATTGTCTTCTACTGCCCTCTACTGGTTGCTGTCAGCCACTGATAATTGACCTAATAATTGAATACTTCCCTGTGATGTATTGTGAATCAGACACTGGCTTCCTTGTGCTCAAGATAAAATATCTTCCACAGCATTAGTTGTCTT